TCATTTTATTTATTACTATATTACAATGATCCAACAATAAGAGGGAAATAATGTAACATATTGTTTGTAACTGTTGTTTGTAATTGTCATTTTTAATCTTTGAATGCTGTCTAGAGTCACTGCTTTGAGATGAGTGGCTATATAAATTATTTAAACAAAACATATAAATGATTGGTATCTTTTCTCCACCATGCCACGATGAACATTTGTCTAATTTCTTGTATTTTGCTATTTTCTTCTTTGATCAATCTAGAGGTCTGCTATCTGAGTCTGGCAACAGGGAGGGAATTTGCCTACAATAGAAATTACATTAAACTGGAAGAAGTAGCAGATAAAAAAAGGCTGCAGAACATAAAAGCAACGGAAGCAGGCCACTTCCATCAGCCAGGTAAAAGTGTAGCAAGTATTGGCACCTGAGACTTCCTGCCCATTGACTTCTTGTAACAAGACACCTTGTAACAAGACAGGTAAATATTTACATGGTATACAATGAATGCCCCTTAAGTCATCGAGTTGGTGTCAACTCTTAGTGATATATTTTTTCCCCAAGACATTTTGTCCCCATCCTGGTCCTTCAGATCTTCTAATGGTGAACCCATCACCATTGCAACTGAGTTTTCCATCTCTCTTCTTGCTGTTCATTTTTTGATTTCCTTGTACCCTTCCCAGCATTATGGATTTCTTCAGAGAGCTAGGTTTTCATACAATGCAATCAAATTATGATAATTATATAGAATCATAGAGCTGGAAGGGACCTTGGAGGTCTTCTAGTCCAACTGTCTGCCCAAGACAGGAGAACTTATCCCATTCTGGACAAATGGATGTCCAATATTTTCTTGAAAACCTTCAGTGATGGAGCACCCTCAAATCCAGGAGGAAGCTGTTCCATTGATTAATTGTTCTCACTGTCAGGAAATCTCCTTAGTTCCAGGTTGAATATCTTTTTAAAGAATTTCACCCATTGCTTCTTGTCCTACCCTCAGGTGCTTTGGAAAATAAGTCAACCCCTTCTTCTCTGTGACAGCGCATCAAGTACTACAAAACAGTTATCATGTCACCCTTAATCCTCTTTGTCACTCTAGATCAGTGGTTCTCAACCTTTTTAATGCCGTGACCCCCAACTGGTCGTAAGTTGAGGACTACCCAACCGGTCGTAAGTCAAGGACTACCCAACCAGTTGTAAGTCGAGGACTTTCCCTGCCCGGGAGCACCGCGCATGCGTTGTGCCGCCCCCTGCGCTGGCCGAGGCATAGTTGGCAAGCGGCAGACACGGTGCAGGCCGACCACCGGCTGGGCCACCAGATGGCCCAGCCCAAGGGAGGTAAGGCACCCGCCGGGCCCCACGCGCACCAGCAACCCTCCGTGCGCCCGCCGGCCTCCCACCTCCCACCCCTGGCCCTCTTTTACTTACATTTTTAGTAGTTGCTCAGCAGGGAGGGGTGGAAGCTTCCAGACAGCTCACCTTCACTGCAGACAACTTGCAGCACCGTTTGCAGAATGGGACTTTTGGCGGGCTCAGCAGGGCAGAGATAGCCTGGACAATTCCTACTGGCTTTTGAAAGCCAATAGAATTAGATTCTATTCAAGAGAGTCTATTCTATTGGCTTTCAAAAGCCAATAGAATAAAAGAGAGTAGCATAGCTAAGGAAAAGGGGAAAAAATGGCGGACTGAATTGTTTGGCGACCCCCGTGAAATGGTCATTCGACCCCAAATGGGGTCCCAACCCACAGGCTGAGAACCGCTGCTCTAGATGCAGGGGTTCTCAACCTTGGTTGAGAATCCCTGCAAGTCTAGACACACTTAGCTCCCTTAACCATTCATTGTATGATTTAGCCTTCAGATCAATCACCATCTTTGTTGTTCCTTGTTCCTTCCTTCCTAATGTCAGCAATTTTTTTTTGCATTGTGGTGACCAGAACTGGACACAGCATTCCCAATGTGGCCTCACTAATGCAGCATAGAGAGCTACTATCATTTCTCATGATCTTGATGCTATCCTTCTGTTGACGCAGCCTAGGGCAGCATTTACTTATTTCACAACTGCAGCACACTGATAGATAGCTCATATTTAGGACAGCTCGATCACTCTCACACTTAGTACTGTTGAGCCACATACTGCCTATTCTATACTTGTCTCTTTGATTTTTCTCACCTAAGTGCAGGACCTTACTTTTCTCATCACAGAACTGTATCTTGTTGGATCTTGTGGCCCAATGTTGAAGTCTGTCAAGATCCTTCTGAATCTTCAGTCTATCTTCTATCTTCTAAAATGTTGGCAATTCCCCCCAGCTTGGTGCCATCTACACATTTTATGAATTCCCCTTCTATCCCCTCATCTAGATCATTTATGAAGATGTTGAAGAACACTGGGCACCAAACAGAACCTTGAGGTATCCCACTGTATGCTTCCCCCCCTGTAGATGTAGTTCACTTGAGGGCTACATGCTGCATGCAGTTGGTCAGCCAACTGTGAATCCATGATGGTACTGTCTATCCCACATTGTTCTACAGTAGTGGCCAAAATTGTGGAAACCTTTTGGGAAAAGTGTATTTTTGAGGTTTGATGGCTAATAACATCACTTTTTTGGGAGTAGTACCATAAGATTATATATCAATGGAAAAATAATTTAATCAAGAATGTAATGCAACATTTATCTGTTCAATTCTGTGAAAAGTTATAGCCAAATTACCAGAAAAAGGAAGCACAACTTGCTTAGGTTGATATCAGGTAGCTTTCCTTCATCTGATTTAGCCAATGAGCATGAATGTTTAGAGAGCCAATCAGGTGTAATCTTCTTTCGGCAATGAGCCAATCAGATCACAGTAAGATTCAGTTATTGATGTCATGTATTGAAGCTGAGAGGACATTTGTGAGTGTGTTGTGTGATTGCTATCAAGTTGTTTGGTTTTTTTTCTGTTTTTTTTTTTAGTGAGCTTGTAAAACGTAATAAAATTAAAGTAATGGTGCAAAGAGTTGACTGGTTGTCTAGAAAGCGATGTAAAATAGTATTATTAAGTGAACAAGGCTACAGTTATAAAGAAATTAGAAGAAAAATTGGTGGAAACTTAACCAAATTCTATTCAGAGTGCCCCTGTGTCCTCATTCTCTCAGCAAGGCCAGAAACCAAAGGCCAGGAAGAAGATGGAATTGTTCCCATAAAAATACACAGATCAGAGATTGGATGAAAATTCGTTGAAACATAGGTTTATTAGTATGGTATTAAATTAAAAGGGTGAGATTGTAATCTCACTATAGAGAATTATGCAAAGTAGAATGTGTGTGTGATTGGATATATCAACCAATAATTTGAATAAAGCAGTCTACTAGGCACTTAGTCTGGTCAGTTGTGGGAAGTGGTGGGATTCAAATATGTGAACAATCAGTTCTCTGTGTGGATGTCACTTCTGGAAGTCCATTCTGGGCCTGGGCAACAAAAAATTAGCTACCGGTTCTGTCAAACTGGTGCAAACTGGCTGAATCCCACCACTGGTTGTGGAGTTCTAGTAATTTCTAGTAACTTTTTACACCTTTTCAACATTCCTTGGCATTCTAAATGTTTTATAGGTGAGCTGACAAGGCATATTGTTTGTGAAGTCTATGGCAAAGAAGATTTGGGGAGAATCTTAAGCCAGTGATGGCAAACCTTTTAGAGACAGAGTGACCCAAAACTGGCCCTGCCCCCACCCCACCCCCTGCCCTGCCCCTGCTCCACCCCCCATCCCCTACCTGCCTGCCCGCAGGGCCACTCACCGCCTCCAAGGCCCGCCGCAGATTGCCCAGGCAGCCCAGCAGCGCTATGGCAGTCACACCCTCTGCCCATGTCCTGCAGCATCAACTGTGCATGATGGGGTGTGAAGACAGAGTCTTGTCTACGCTGCCTGGCTGCCATGTCCTTGGCTGCACTGCTCCGGGTGGGCCACACTCAGGGGCAAGTCTCCTTCAGGGGGGCTTCTGGAGAGGAGGGGTCACGGGGGGAGGCAAGGCTGGGGCAATGGTACATGTGCCCACAGAGAGGGCTCCGAGTGCCACCTCTGGCACCCGTGCCATACGTTCGCCACCACTGCCATAAGCAGTGCCATTTTTTCCACTTAATTGCTAAGAACTGAGCTCTCTGTGAAGGGAAAGCTTGATTCTGAGGGTGTGCTCTTTCCCTGCAATGTTGCAGCATTCACATGAAACAGTGCTCAGTATTCAACCCTGTTAAAAGCTCAAGAATTGCTTGCTTGCACCGATCCCGAACAGGTAGTCCTCAACTTACAACCATTCATTTAGTGACCATTGGAAGTTACAACAATTAAAAAATTGTCTTGTGACTGTCACATCATCCCCCACGGTCATGTGATCAACATTCAGATGTTTGGCAACTAGATTGTGCAGCATCCCAGGGTAAAGTAATTGCCATTTGTGACCTTCCCAGCCAGTTTCCAATAAGCAAAGTCAGTGGGGGAAGCTGGATTCAATTAATGACCACGCGATTCACATAACTACTATACTTAACAGCCATAGCAAATAAAGATTGTAAAATTGGGCACAACTCAACAACTGCCTTGCTTGGCAATGGAAATTCTGATTCCAGTTGTGGTCATAAGACCTGTGTGGCATTGTGTTGGACTAGAACCAGAGGAACCCAAATTCTAATCTTCCCTCAACCATAAAAGGTCACAGGGTGACCTTGGGCCAGTCACAATTTGAAGGAAGTGATGCTGGCTTGTGTTCTTCAAGGAAAGATGGGATAAAATTCTACCAAACAAATGAAATACTCAGTGCATCTCAGTGCATGTTATGTGGCAGGTGCCTACCTCAAAGTCACACAAAGACTATTAGCTACTTTATGATATTGCTGCTCAGGAGTGTACAGGTAGTCCTCGACTTATGACCAGAACCGAACCTCAAATTTCTGGTTGCTAAGTGAGACACCTGTTGAGTGAGTTTTTCCCCACTTTACGATCTTTCTTGGCACAGTTGTTACATGAATCACTGCAGTTGTTAAGTTAGAAACACAGTGGTTAAGTGAATCTGGCTTCCACGTTGATTTTGCTTGTCAGAAAGTCACAAAAGGGGATCCCATGATCCTGGGAACACACTGCAACCATCATAAATATGAGCCAGTTGCTGAGCGTTGTAAATCCGAAAAATGGTCACGAGTCACTTTTTTCAGATGTGTTGTAACTTGAAATGGTCATTACACGAATTGTTGTAAGTCAAGGACTACCTGTAGTGTTTCTATAGAGTGGCATTCCACTCTATCTAATCATTATGAACTGACTGTTGTACTGTGAGCTTTGTTAGAAAAGATGGATCAATTCTTGATCGGTCTTTATGAAATGGTGGTGCAAAGCTTTGTTCTCTCTAGGTCAGTGTTTCCCAAACTTGACAATTTTAAGGCATGAGGATTTCAACTCCCAGAATTCCACAGCCAGCAACGCTGGCTGTGGAATTCTGGGAATTGAAGTCCACATGCCTTAAAATTGTCAAGTTTGGGAAACACTGCTCTAGGTCCTCACCTCCTCTGCTACCTATTAAGTATCTTGAGTCGTAGTTCCCATTGGACCAGCCAGAGAAGTCAACATGGGGCTGGTGGTGAGGCAGACCTTGCCTGTCTCCAGCCATCTGGCACTTCCTGAGCCTCAGGCCACCTTCTTCTGCTTGGCTGAGTCACAGACTGAGTTGTAGAATTCTAAGAGGAGCCTTGCAGAGGTCCTGGGCCTCTCCAGGGTTATGAAATGTCCACATTTCTCCAGCCAACGCACTTGGGAATTAGGAATGGCATCCGCCAAAATGTCTGCACCCGAAGAATCAAAGACCTACAGAACAAAGAAATATTGAATTTCCTCCTCCCCTTGAAAGTATTTTTAAAGTGCAATAATAATAATAATAATAATAATAATAATGACAAAAAAGTCTGGATAGTGGACGTGGCAGTGCCTGGAGACAGCAGAATAGACGAGAAAGAACTGGGGAAGATAACAAAATACAAAGACCTACAAATAGAAATAGAAAGACTGTGGCAAAAGCAAGCAAGGGTAGTACCAATAGTCATAGGCTCCTTGGGTGCAATCCCAAAACAACTGGAGCACCACTTGAACACCATTGGCATTGACAAATTCGCTATTAGTCAATTGCAAAAGGCGGCCTTATTAGGAACTGCTTCCATCCTGCGACGATACCTGTAATACCATCAAACATCCACATCTGCCTATCCCAGGTCCTGGGTAAGGACTCAATAGGTAGACAAAATGCCAAATCCAGTCTGAACATCTGGCTGACTGTGCAATGATCCATAATGATGATGATGATGATGATGATGATGATGATGATGATGATAAAGTTGGAAGGGACCTTGGAGGTCATCTATACCCATGGTGGCGAACCTATGGCTCCTTATTTGAAAGATATTAACTAATGAAGCTGCTGAATTCTATTATGCATATTATTGTTTCTTCAAGGACAGAGTCATTAAGCTTGATCTTCCCTTTATTAAACCTTTTAGGTGGGTATCAATATATCTGAATTCTCTTGGCTTAAGTCTTTCTGTGTAAAATCTTTTTTTTTAAGTTTTATTGATTTTCTAGTTTTACACTTAAGTATTTAAAAAGCATCATGGCGGCTGGAAGTGGCATCTACACAAAGAACTGGTTGTTCACATATCTGAATCCCACCACTGGGTGTAGACAAGTCAAAAGTTTCAAGCAAAAACCATGCAATTCGTCTTCACCTGATGCTGACCATTTTTTGATCTTCCTTGCTCATTTCTCCTGTTATTACTAGTTCTTTCATTTCAGCTTATTTTTTATTCTTATCCATCTCCTTTAACCAAGCTGAGACCTTGTTGTATGGTAGAAATGTTTCTGATTGCATTGAAATAGGAGATTCTGCCTATAATTTGCAATTAGAGCTTCATATATGCTGATCTTCTTGACTATAGCTATTGTTTCCTGTGCTTTATTATTTCCAGTGCTTCCTTGATCTTCCTTCTTTCTAAGTGGTATTTTTTGATTAGGTATGCTTTGATCTTCTTGTTCTTCAGTTTCTTTTTTTTCATCTGTTCTAATTTGCTTGCATCAGATCTCAACTTGCTGAACTTATTTTCCAGTCTGATCTTCCATTTCGGTGGCTCACTATTTGGCTTTTTCTTCTTCTTTGTTGATTTTGCATCACAGATATTCAGTTATAACTGCAGCTGTGCTGTACATTGTTTGATTTGTTTCTTTTTTCTTTCTTTCTGCCTCTTGGAGAAAAAGTCTTTAATCCTTGTGCTAGCTGTTTCTTTGGAACAAGCTTCAATGCAGGCAGCCATATTCTGATGTTTTTGTGCTGTTCTAGATGCTCAGTTATTCTACTTCTTTAGTTAGAGGGCTTTGTTCTTTCCAAGGCAGGGGACAATGTGCCTGGTTTCCAAATGAAAACAATTCTATGTCTCTGCTGGATTCCTCAACTGCCCACTCCCTCTGGTTTGCCTTTATAATCTGAGTTACTTCTGACAAGGCTTTGATTTCTTTGCCCTGGGTAGACCTTTGCAGTTCTTCCAATTCTGCTTCTGTGACTACTTTATTTCATATTATAAATCTATGCTAATCTGCTAACCCCTGTTCTGTTATTTCTAATTCTAGATGTTGTTCTTTCCAGAACTGTTTGGTACAGTTGAACTTCTGGCAGAGCTTTCACCTTCCTCATAGCCCACAAGACCCACAACCATGTCAAGGGAGTGCCTCACTGGGGGATGATGATGATGATTAAAAATCTCCCTATTTAACTCTTCACCTTAGCCCAGAGGTAGGCAACCTCGGCTCTTTTATGATTCATGGACTTCAACTCCCAGAATTCCTGAGTCAGCATAGCTGACTCAGGAATTCTGGGAGTTGAAGTCCATGAGTCATAAAAGAGCAGAGGTTGCCTACCCCTGCCTTAGCCCAAGAGGAAGAAATAAAACTTTTTTGTTTTCTTCTCTCTCTCTCTCTCTCTCTCTCTCTCTCTCTCTCTCTCTCTCTCTCTCTCTCTCTCTCTCTCTCACACACACACACACACACACACACACACACACACCTGTCAATGATTTCCAAAATCATGAAATCAAATTTTTCGTTTTCATTTAATTTGTAAATTTCCTAAAGAAATAACAAAAATTACCCTCACCTGACCCACCTAGTGAGGAGAACAAGGTCTCTCTGGGTCTGAATTTGGGGGATAAAAGAGCAAAAAAAGTACTTTAAGCCTAATAGGCTGCTTTGATACTTAAAAGCCTTGAAGTCTCCCAAATAAATCCTCATCCTGCCCTTTTCTGGAGTGTGGCCCTCAACAAGCCATGCGAAGTCCTCACACTAATGAAAATGATTCTTTTCTGCTATCTAAGAAGGTGTGTGCTTCCAGCCCTTCCTTTATTGGTGGACATCACATTGCAATATAAAAAAAGGCAGGCACTGAGCCTTGAATTTGGGCCAAGTAAAATTCTCTAGTAATACAATAATTTCCATTGTTGTTAGGGTTTCCTTGCACAAAACCCCAGATACACATAAATCCCTTACCTTGTCCTCCTTTCCCCAAATAATCTGGGTGGGAGCTTTGATTTTCCACATCTTCTCATGGAGGCTGTACCTTGATTCAGTGCTGGTGAGGTCCAGAAAACCTTTCTCAATAAAAGGAAGCAGAATTGGTTTGTTTCTTTCCATTTTTAACGAGCAGTGAAAATGGGCTTTGCCTGTTTCTGATCTTCTGTTTTCTTATAAATAACAAGATGAGTTAAATTTGATTAAGGAGCACTTGGCTGGAACAGTAACTCGAACCCTTTGCTATCCCATTTGGCTGATTAAATGCCAGTCCAGCAGCTTTGCCAACTTGCATCTCTTTAGTATAGCTGGACAATAATCTCTGAACTCCACACCCAATGGGCATTAATTGACTGGGAATTATGGGAGTTATATTCCTAACACCCTTGGAAGGCTTGTAAATTGGGAAAGGCTGATCTATGATGATTACAAAGGAGATACGAACTGTAGGACCTCAGTATGCAGAGTGGTACAACTATATCATGGTAGTGTATCAAGAGACAACTGATTTTCCCAAGACTATTTAACATTTTAAAAATCAAGAATCAAGTGTCAAATTCTACCTATAAATAAAGAGAATTTTCCGGACATTGAGAACAATTAACCAGTGGAATGGCTTTCTTTCAGAAGTTGTGGGTGCTCCATCACTAGAGGTTTTCAAGAAGACTTTGAACAGCCAAAGTCTGATATGTTACAGGGTCTTCTGCTTGAGCAGGGGTTGGACCAGATGACCTCAAAGCTCTCTTCTAACTCTGTTATTCTATGTTGTCAAATATAACATGCAAATACAATCAACATGTGCTGAATGAAGAGTTGATGTTGGCTGGTGGACCCTGGATTCATTATATTGGTGCTAAATGTAGGCTTGTCTTTCTGAAATGTGGGCTGGTCCATATTGTGTCTTGTACTTACATTTTACAAAAACTGACTTATGTGATCTCCGATCTTCAAGATATCCCTTTAGGAGCTAAAAGGGGAGAAACCAAAATGGCAAGTCAGAAGTTATTATTTATTTATTTATTTATCAGACTTATATACCGCTTTAAGTGAAAGCACTCTCTAAGCGGTGTACACCAGTAAGCAATGTATATATATATATATATATATATATATATATATATTTACATTGCCCCCAACAATCTGGGTCCTCATTTTACCTATCTCAGAAGGATGGAAGGCTGAGTCAACCTTGAGCCGGTGAGATTTGAACCGCTGACCTGCTGAACACAGTCAGCTAAAGTGGCCTGCAGTACTGCACTCTAACTGCTGCGCCACCTCGGCTCATTATTTTTATTTATTTTATTTATTAAATTTATATAATGCCCATATCCCCTATAGGGCAACTCTGGGAGGCTTACAGAATAAGTTATATTGTATTGAATTACGTTGGAATCAAATTTGCAATTTCTTAAAAGTTTTTGAAATGTGTGAGCAGCCAAGCATAAATATGCCTATTCCCAACTCTAGGGACACCAACATGATGAAACAAGTATCACATTTTTCTTAGGCAAGTTTGCCCTTTCACATTTAAATCATGACATCGTATGCAAATACATAAGGAATGGTCCTTGAGTCACTGTGTTGTACATTTTGTCATTTACTCTGCACCAATGTAACCTATGTTCAGCAAAGTTGGATATGCACAATTACATTCCCGATTAGCAGTTCATTGCTTTATTGGTGAGTATAGTTCTTTTCACTGAAGTCCCTTTTATCCTATAAAAGTCATTTTGAAAACCAGTCTTATCTTGCATATTTCACAGAGAGGGAGGCGCTCAATATTAGGCTGGATATTTTGATGAAGATCATGGTTCAAGCCCATTCTTGACAATTTAGTCAACAATGAATAAAGCACAATTGAACCAGTAGGTAAAAAAGAGGAAGATGGTCTTGGCAAAAATGGTTAATTTTTTAAAAATATCTATGGGCAGTTTCAGTCAAGCACAGCTGAGAAAAATTAAATCTGTAGTCCTCAGGTTGCCTGTTTAATTTCTAGCCTTGTCATAGAATCCTAAGAATGCTTTTTTCATCAAAGTCAACTGGATTTTGTTTTGCCTTGAAGACATTTCACTTCTCATCCAAGAACATTCTTCAGAAATTCTGAAGAAGCTTCTTGGATGGAAACCGAAATGTCTTCAAGGAAAAACAAAGTCCAGTTGCCTTTGAAAATGCACCTTTGGGACAACCATGACCTGGATGATTGAGAATCTCCACTGACACTTGTTGTAGAATGATGCCTTTTGTGGATATTGTGGAAAATTAATTATTAGCCTTTAGCTCATGGGTGTCAAACTTGCGAGGTACCATGATGTATGGTGATTTTTTTTCCCATTGCCGGCACGGTTTTGATGTGGTGGGTGAAGTTTTGGCATGATGCAGTTTGACACCATTGTGCTTAGCTGATAATATCCTACACTGACAACTGATAATGCTCTTTTGGTAAAGGAAGATCTAAGACAGTGGTTCTCAACCTGTGGGTCAGGACCCCATTTGGGGTTGAACGACCATTTCACAGGGGTCGCCAAACAATACAGTCCGCCATTTTTCCCCCTTTTCCTTAGCTGTGCTACTCCCTTTTATTCTATTGGCTTTTGAAAGCCAATAGAATAGACTCTCTTGAATCGAGTCTAATTCTATTGGCTTTCAAAAGCCAATAGGAATTGTCCAGGCTGTCTTTGCCCTGCTGAGCCCGCCAAAAGTCCCATTCTGCAAACGGTGCTGCACCAGTTGAGTAGTCCTCGACTTACGACCGGTTGAGTAGTCCTCAACTTACGACCGGTTGGGGGTCGCGGCATTAAAAAGATTGAGAACCACTGATCTAAGACCAAGCATTGTGAGGGGACTTTTTATAGCACTGGAACAACCTCCTTTTTTCTTTCTTCTGTGTCTTTAGACTACAAATCTGAAGGCACTAATGTCTTGGTTATTTATTTTATGGTGAGCAGTTCCAGGATACCTTTCTTTTTAAAAAAGAATGTTTGAATGAATGTAAGAATGGGTGGGTAGATGAATGAATGAACCTGTCCATATCTGTCCAGTTTCTGTATTTTTGAAATGTTTGTGTACTTTTACCTTTTGGGTTGTGTGCTCTCTCTGGCCACCCCATTAAAATAAGAGAGCCAGAGAAGGAGAAAGGTGTTATCAGAAGAGACTGGGTAACAACATAGCAATCCACAAAAGGTCAGATCTTCACCTGAATCTTTAAAAAAATGGGATGGTATAAGCACAGCTTTATGAAGTTTTCCACCTGCTCTTCTGTAACTGGGATAATAGCATTCTCCACAGAGCCCTTAGAGAAAATCAGCTCACGTAATTGGGCAAAAAATTCACTATCAGTTAAATACCTCACACCTGTAAGTAGAGGAAAGTGCAAAATTTTAAAAGCTAATGTAAGACAAACATAACATTTGAACAGGAATTGCAGGCATAGATTTATTTAAGGAAAGCATATATCATTTATTCTCATAATTAGGTTTCAATTATATTCACAGCTGATACAAGTGGAATAACTGGTGGGTAAAAGATTGGATAGGGAAAATGGTAGTAACCCAGGCCATAAAGCTTAACAATCATGGCAGGTAGACCTTATGTGAAGATTCCTACTACCACCAAAACATCCAGTTGATCATCACTTAACAGAATAACAGAGTAACAGTTGGAAGAGAACTTGGAGATCTTCTAGTCTAACCCCTGCTCAAGCAGGAGATCCTATACCACTCGGGACAAATGGCTGTCCAATCCCTTCTTAAAAATCTCAAGTGATGATGCACCCACAACTTCTGAAGGCAAGCCATTCCACTGATTAATTATTCTGTCAGGAAATTTCTTCTTAGTTCTAGGTTGGATCTCTCTTTGATAAGTTTCCATCTGTTATTTTTTCTCTTGCCCTCAGCTGCTTTGGAGAATAGGTTGTCCTCCTTTTCTCTGTGACAACCCCTCAAATATTGGAAGACTCTAATAATAATAATAATAATAGTAAAGTTGGAAGGGACCTTGGAGGTCATCTAGTCCAACCCCCTGCTCGGGCAGGAAACCCTACACCATTTCGGACAAATGGCTGTCCAGTCTCTTCTTAAAAACTTCCAGTGTTGGAGCATTTACTGCTTCTGGAGGCAGGCTGTTCCACTGATTAATTGTTCTCACTGTCAGGAAGTTTCTCCTTAGTTCTAGGTTGCTTCTCTCCTTGATTAGTTTCCACCCGTTGCTTCTTGTCCTGCCTTCAGGTGCTTTGGAAAATAGCTTAATTCCCTCTTCTTTATGGCAGCCCCTGAGATATTGGAATACTTATCATGTCACTCTTATCATGTCACTCTGGTCCTTCTCTTCACTAAACTAGACATGCCAAGTTCCTGCAACCATTCCTCGTATATTTTAGCACCCAGCCTTCTAATCATCTTTCTTGCTCTTCTGTGCATTTCTTCTAGAATCTCAATATCTTTTTTACATCGTGGTGACCAAAATTGGATGCAGTATTCCCAGTGTGGTCTTACTAACTTACTACTACTTACTTCCCTTATGTCCTTTCTAAAGACCACAAAGAGGGCTGCACATCCTAATATGTGGGCAGAATTGTGTTTAAATCTTTGAATGCTGCATGAAAAATACAGGTAGTCCTCGACTTACAACCATTTGCTTAGTGACTATTTGAATGTTACAAGTGATCTATGACCATTTTTAGACTTATGATCGTTGCAGCATACCCCATAGTCGTGTGATCAAAATTAAGACATTTGGCAATTGCTCTTTAGAAGGCCAGATCCTGAAGTTGAAACTCAAGTACCTTGGCCACCTAATGAGAAGGAAGGACTCACTGGAGAAGGGCCTAATGCTGGGAAAGATTGAGGGCAATAGAAGAAGGGGATGACAGAGAATGAGATGGTTGGATGGAGTCACTGAAGCAGTAGATGTGAACTTAAATGGACTCCAGAAGATGGTAGAGGACAGGAAGACCTGGAGGAACGTTGTCCATGGGGTCGCGATAGGTTGGACACGACTTTGCAATTAACAACAACAACAACAATGTGTTATGATGGTTGCATTGCCCTGGGATCATGTGATCACCTTCTGCAACCCTCTGACAAGCAAGGTTAATGGGTAAGTCCAGTTCATTTAACGACTGCAGTGATTCACTTAACAGCTGTGGCAAGAAAGGTCATAAGATGGGGCAAAATTTACTTAACAGCAGCATAAATTTTGGGTTCAGTTGTGGTTGTAGGTTTACCTGTATTTAAGATAGATTAAAATATGACAGTCTAAACAGCAGAATATAGTTACTGGCAAGATAACTAACCGGTGTTCATCACAATGGACCCATGCATACTTTTCTAGGTTTGTCATAATATACCCAGTCCCCAAGAAGAGACTAACATGCTGGCAGGTGTTTTAGGTCACAAAACCAGGAAAACATGAGCATATAGCATGAGAGCATGAGACTAAAGTCATCCTAGGTAAAGCCTCTTAATGTAACCAAGAGGGTAGCAGTAAAATTGGTAACCTTAATTCAGTTCTAGCCACTGGGTCAAAAATGGGTCTATCCAGAAATGGTTATACTGAAATGCATGAAGAAGTATTGCATCTGATGAGAGAAGCCATCTCCAAATAGTCCATCAAGTTCTTATAATCCAGCTCTGGGATCTCCAAATTTGGCAACTTCAAGACTTCCCCAGCCACCATGAGCTAGATTTTGGGTCAAGCATTCTGCCTTTTCCTTCAGAGTTTACTTACTTGATGTAGATACTTACCAGCTGGGCAGAGGAGGGCTAACGAGGAGACATGGGCTGGATAGAGAGCAGCATAAACCCCAGCAACCATGCCTCCCATGGACATGCCAACCAGGTGGAAAGGCTTGTGGTTCAGACCAGCACACTCAACAAACTGAAACAAGCATTGGGAACAAAGAGATTGTGGCTGTGTTTTCATGAGATGCTTACCCATGCTTACCTATTTTTTCCCTAAACTATAGTAAATCATTTTTTGGCTTTCCACAATGTTCAAGGTGGCAACATCTAACCCATAGTGCTCATCTTGAAAAGCTAAGCAGGGTTTGATACCAGGAATATTTGACAGAAACTGAACTAGGAGTGAAAACATTAAAACAAAAACTTATAGAAGGAGGCAGTGGTAAAATAGAATAGAGCTGGAAGGGATGTTGGAGGTCTTCTAGTCCAGCCCCCTGCTCACGCAGATGAACCTATACCATTTCAGATAAGTGACTGTCTAGTCTCTTCTTAAAAACCTCCAGTGATGGAGCATCCACGATTTCTGGAGGCAAGCTGTTCCACTGGTTGATTGTCCTCATTGTTAGGAAGTTTCTCCTTAATTCCAGGTTGCTTCTCTCTTTGATTTGCTTCCAACCATTGTTTCTTGTCCTGCCTTCTGTTGCTTTGGAGAATAATTTGACCCCCTCTTCTTTGTGGCAGCCCCTCAAATACTGGAATACTGCTATTATATCACCCTTATTTATTCTTTTCTTTAGACTAGCTAGCCAAACCCAAGTCCTGCAGCCGTTCTTTGTATATTTTAGTCTCCAGGCCTTTGATTATTTTAGTTGCACTTCTCTGATTTTTTTAACATCTTTTTTGTAGTATGGTGACCAAAATTGGTTGCAATATTACAGGTGTGGTGTTACAGGGTTTTATAAAGCAGTACTAATACTTCACGTGATCTATGACTCTGTTTATACAACCCAGGATTGTATTAGCTTTTTGGCTGCTGCTGCACACTGCTGGCTCATATTCAAGTGATCATCCACTAGGACTCCAAGGTCCCTCTCACAGTTACTGTTTTTGAGCCAAGTCTTGCCTAATCTGTACTTATACTTCTGATTTTTCCTGCCTAAATGTAAAACTTTGCTTTTCTCCACATTAAAATTCATTTTGTTGGATAGGGTCCGTTGTTCAAGTTTGTCAAGACCCTTTTGAATCCTGAGCTTGTCTTCTGGGGTGTTGGCTATTCCTGCCAGTTAGTGTCATCTGCAAATTTGATGAGTTCCCCTTTTATTCCCTTATCTAAGTTATTTATGAAAAAAATGAAGATAAAATATTATCTTCAAGAAATCAAAAGGACATGTCCATAAAGTCATCAGAAGTCATGCTCGATGAAAGGAGATTCTACATTTTAATGCAAAGAATAACCACTTTATATATTTTTATTGACAGCCACTCCTTGAGTTTATATCTAATTTCTCATACATACCCTACTTTCACCATTTGCTGCCAATCACTAGCCTTCAAAGAACAATGTATCATATCAAGAAAGGACCTACCTGGTGTATCCTTTTAGCTTGAGCAACTGCTGTGTAACTTTCTCCAAGCAAGCGACTGGTTCCCCCATGGCCTGGCAAATCAAGGCAGATCAAGTGGAGGCCCTTAGGAAAGACCTATGGGGAATGGTTCTGCGTGTGAATCCAAGGAATCAGAACAAAAATAGCTGGCTCTGTTCACTGCCAAAAGCAGGACTAGAGAAAAAAACATTTTTCTTCTTGGACCTGGAATCAGATCTACTTTTCTTTTGCCCTCCCTTCCCCACCCATCCCACACCATCTTTTCCTCTTCTTCCATTGATATCACCAAATAATACGTTTTGGAAAATTGAGCATGCTCACACTTCACTGATTTTTTTCAGAAGATAATTATCTCTATCATCTCTCTCATCTATCTATCTATCTATCTATCTATCTATCTATCTATCTATCTATCTATCTATCTTCTATCTATTTCTGCCTGCCTGCCTCCTTCAGCAAATTGCACAAGAGGGTAATTTCATTAAAATTTCAGGAAAGAATGCATGAGACTACATGAGATTTCCACAACTGTCTTTTCAATATTATTTTACTAAGGGAAAAATGCACAGTGATGCCCAAATATTTCATAAAATTGCCAGATTCTGATGTGACAACAGCCAATTCCTCTTTGCAGCTGTTTGGCAAGGCATAAATGATCCCTAACATCAGAGGGCCAAAACCACCTGTAGCCTAAGGACTGGGTTAAATTTCCTATTTGCTTCATCCAGAGTGGCAGAGAGCTGGTTCTCATCTACCTCCAAGAAGATAAAGAAAAATTGGACAGAACCTTAGATGTGGACATTAGTAAGGGCCATACTAGCCAGGAACTCTGGAGAAGGTCCTCCTATTTGGAGGATGACCAGAGTGGGACAGATTGTATTTGAGACCCAGGTCACATAGTACCCACAGTTTTCCCCTTGGTCATTGTGATGTTGCTCCCTTTTACACACATCTCACTCTACCCAGTGAGAAGGGATCCCAGGAACTGTAAGCAGATGGGACACAGGGAATGGTACTGGCACATTTCCTTTAAAAGGAACTAGTTGTGAGCAAGAGCACAGAAGGTTTCCTCTCTGATCAGACCAGCATCAAGATCAGACCAGCATCACCCATGCTAGAGTACGTAAAAGGAAGACCTACTTGGATGGTATTTAACCACATGTCTTTGTTGAGTGAGAATCCATGAAGCATCAGCACAGATGGTCGGGATCCGGGTTCCCCTCGGGTGAAGTAGCTGAATCGGTATCCCTCATTATTATCGAGGTACTTCACCTTCACCCCCATTTTCAGACGCTTAGTCCTGAAAATATGGAGAACAGAATGGAAGACTGATGGGGATTTTGTGGAAGAGACGTATTGTGGAATGATTTCCATTCCAAGCTTAGATCGCAGTAGATGGAAGAGGCTGTAAAAGCTGCTGAAGGCTTTTAGAATGGTGTGAGGTTGTAGATGAGGACTCTGGGTAGATGGCAATGACAAGACCAACAAGGCAGTCTTCAACATAAGCAAGAGGAGTGGCCAGTGAGAAAGCTATTAAAGAGTGCAAGAAAATGGGGGAAACTCTTCCATATGGAGAGACTCTAATATTCTGATCTTATGCCAAGATCAGCCTCCAGATTAAGAAACCTCATGCAGATGTTATATAGCTGTTTAAGTCAATAAGTAAATGAGGAAGGCTAGCTATAGGGAGGGGACCTGCAACTAGTAGCCCTACATGACAAAATTTTTCTGAAACTTTTGAATTGCTTATTCTCTCCAGATGTTCATGGAGTTTCGGGATAAGATGCAACTACTTGTCTTAGTTTTATCTCTACTCAAAAGTTGACTTAAATGATGGGGCCAAAAACTAGACTTTGTTAGCGTTTGACTAAGCACCCTGACTTAAAAAACCACACACCTTTCTTCTGGTAATTGAATAGTGCTCTAGCTCAGAGGTCCCCAAACTTTTGTGCACCAGGGACCAGTTCTGTGGAAAGAGGTTTTTCCGCAGACCGGAAGGGGTGTAGTTTTTTGTGCTGCCTGCATCCTGCGGATGGGGCTTTGCTTGTTTGTGTGGACCAGTTGCTGACATGCCGCAGCCCAGTACTGGTCCACAGACTGGGGGTTGGGGTCCCTGCTCTAGTTGACCAATTATGTATTTTCTCTTTTTCATATATTTTACAAGAAATACACTTACCAGATCATGATCCTGAATAATAGTGAAGGTAACACACTGAACTTTGAGATGAAAAAAGATAAGAGAGCCATAGCAATGTGCATAATTGTTCTGATCATATTGTGGTCCATGCTTGCCAATTAAGGAACTTTTCTCGCTGCATAAAATCAAAGGGGGATACAAACTTAATAAATAATACTGTTAAATTATTTGTGGCCTTATAATTTTAACAGAACTGGTTAGTTAATGACTCAGGTCAATAACAGATTTCTTCATTATTCTGATTAATGACGGCATGATGGTCACAATTTGGATTGCTTCGCGATTAGTTATGGAAAGTCATGAAGGTTTAGCAGGTAATCTTGACAGTGAAATGCTACCTTCAAATCAGAAGCAATATGTCCCTTGATGCTGATTGCAGAGGAGCAGGTGTAGAAGGATTCAATTGATTTTGGGTTTAGAAAAGAAACAGTGATTATGATGATTTAAGAGAAAAAGTCCTGATTATAAACTCTCTCTTATTTGATTACTGTGGACACAATGCTAGACTAGATACATAGCTTTGGGACTGAACTATTAACCCCCCTTTCAATAACAGGAATTACTTCTTTGCAGAAAGACAAGTAATCTGTAAAATTTGCAACCACAAAACATACAATTTGTGTAGCTTTAGAAAAAAAAATCAAATAAATTTATGGGAAATAGGACTGTTAAAAACCTCTCTGGCAACTGAGCTTATGGTTTATTTAAAATCCTAGGGACGTTGTACCTTCTAATAAAGGCTTCTGGAAACAAGATGGGTATCTGGTTAGATTTGAAACAGAATGTTGAATTAGATAAGCCTTTGGATAGATTCCCTAGTTCTTATGATGATCTCATGACCAGAAGGTATATTAACCCCCCAAGTTACTTGAACAGAAATTAATTATGTATTATGTTAATTTGGGAAATATCAAAAGGAGGAAAGCAATAATATTCTCAAGTGATGCCCTATGGTCACTGTGGTATCTTCTTCAAGTCTCTGTGTGTCTGTGTGTGTGCATGTGCATGTGAGCATATGCGTGCTCTATATAGTTGGAAAATGATAGCATCTCTGTTTTTCTAACTTTAATAATAAAATTACTTTGTTTTAACTGTTGCAACTCTCTATTGCATGTATAATTTAATGTAATGATAGTAAACATTTACTTAAACATTTAAAGCAATTTAAAATTATGTAATTGATGTAATAAAGCTGATTAGATAGCAATCATCCAGATGTTTATATGGAAATAATACCTGTTCTACATAGTGCGAATACCTTCTGAATAAATGTATGTTGTGTTATACAGTTGGAACGAGTATCTTTGTGTGTATGCCAAACTAGATAACTTGATGTGACTATAACTATGGAGGCCTGGGGGTTTGTTCAGTAGTCACAATAGGAAATTGTGAGCAAGACAGGATATGGAGCGCTTTTTAAATGATGGAATTTAAGCTACTTCTACTTCTATAATAGGAGGATATTTGTATCTCGGGGTTGAAATGAGGGGTCCTTGGTACTCTCTGAGCTTGGCTGTTTTCTTGTAGATGTTTCATTACCCAAACTAGGTAACATCATCAATGCTACCCGGGACTAGCACTGGTGAGGTTACTAATCGCATCTGCAAGAAAACAATCAAGCTCAGAGAGCACCAAGGACCGCTTACTTCTGTTTCAGTACTGCCCAGGGTTTTAAAAGCTTAAAATTGTATGTATTAATAATTGCTATAGAAGAAGGAAACTCAGCTGGCATGGATTGCACGAGCACCCAAATTATTCAAATTTTTTATCCAGAAAAGGCATTTTTCTTTGAGCACTATTTCATTTTTTAACTAGAGAAGGAAATTTGGCACTCTAGGTTGGAACAGTGAACAAGAGAGAAAAAAAATGAACATCAAACACTGTATCTAAATCTGTGGCAGCTATGAATTTGCTGATCCAGGGAAGAAGCTGACATATATGGGTCAAAGGATTCACACATCACACTCTGTTAGGTCCTTTATAACTCAGACCATCTAGAGTTGTCTGAGTAGGTGGAGTCAAAGAGAACGCACCTTCTTAGTCATTGTAATGTTGTTTACATTTGTAATGTTGTAATGTTGGAAGCTTGCAGCGAGAAACCAAATTATTTAACCCTCTCAGCTTTTCCCTTCAATTTGATACAAAGCAAATATTTACAGAAAGAAAAATCTAAGATATAATCAAATTCTAAGAGAGAACTCACTAACATTCAATTAAACTACAACCCTTTTTAATAATTTTATCTCTCTCCAAACCTGTGATTGACAGCAGAACTCTTTAACAGAAGAGGGCCCCAATAGTCCAATCACCCACACGAACACACAGATGTTTTTTCTCTCTACATGGCATGCCTCTTTCTGGAGCAATCCCTTAGAAGGTGGCCTCGTTTTCAGAGGGATATTCTAATATAAGAGAATATTTGTAACTCGGGGTTGAACTGTGGGGTCCTGGGTGCTCTTTGAGCTTGGTTGTTTTTTTTTTTGCAACTGTTTTATTACCCAAATAGGAAACATCATCAGTGATAGGACATGTTAGCACTGATGATGTTATCTTGTTTGGTAATAAAATGTCTGCAAGAAAACAAACAAGCTCAGACAGCATCAAGGACCCGACAGAGGGATGTTTCCTGAAATATGCAGGATTTTACTCAGATAAATGGAACACTTCCCAAAGCAGATTGGTGGCCAGCTGAGTATACAACTAGCTTTCATCTCTATCAAAAGGCAATCTGTATTTTCTTCTATAGTGAGAATTTATGAATATATTTCAGGGACAATGACTAGAGCAATTCTAGCAATTGAGCTTCAGAAACATAGTACCTGAACAAAGTAACTGTCAAGCTGGATACAGCTCCTAGATAGACTCCATCGATAGCTGAAATTCCAAGCATGGTGCTTTAAAGTTGTTATCTGGAGTATATAATACTTAAGAGTAAAAGGATCCCCTTAGTGATCCTTAAAGCTATATTTTTGGCATCCATTTTCCCCCTGATCCTCTGAAATGTAACTTCTTAAGTTGAGATTACTGCTCTTGGATGTGCTGACAAATTAAAGAAATTATTTTTAACATGGTGTTGACAACTGTTATTCTAAACTTTTGGAAGGTATTACTAGATCTTAAGTGGATACAAAAGGGGCAATAATATTCAGGGACACAGTTTTGCACAACTCCCAGGAAAATGTAAAGTACTTTCACTGCATCACTGCATGCCAATGTTGTAACCCAACCTGCTTGAAGAAAGCTTTTCGGAAAATACTATTTATTTCATAATTTCCTATGATATAACATGCTTTGAAGGTGATGATCCTGTAATTACTTTCCTGAGAATGATTATTGACATCCCAGGACTCACTTATCAGGAGAATTTAAAAGCCTATACTATAGATCTATGACCTTTCTCTTTTCAAGGCAATGAAAGTTTTGTTTTTGAAGAGGTTGTATTCTTTAAATTTTATCAGTCATTAGTGAAGCCTTTACATCCACTTGTGTAAAAAAAAAACACCTGTATTTAAGCTGCATTCCTTTCAGAGGTAGGCAACCTTGGGTCTTTTATGACTCGTGGACTTCAACTCCCAGAATTCCTGAGCTAGCCATGCTGAGGGGAAAGAGAGAAGTTTCCAAGCTGAGCCATGCTGGCTCAGGAATTCTGGGAGTTGAAGTCCAGGAGTCATAAAAGAGCCAAGGTTGTCTACCCCTGCCCTAGGTCCTTGGGACAGGATCCAGATGCCATGGACTGAATTAGATACTATCTTCCAAATTGGCAAAACCTCTAAAATTGGAGGTGGAAATTCAGTACAGGTATTCCTTGACTTATAACCATTCCTTTAGTGACCATTTGAAGTTACAATGGCACTGAAAAAAGTGACTTATGACCATTTTTCACAGTTACGACCATTGCAGCATCCCCATGGTCACATGATCAAAATTCAGACATTAAGCAACTGGCACATATTTATGACGGTTGCTGGCTCCTGAGGTCCTGTGATCACCTTTTGTGATCGTCTGACAAGAGAAGTCAATGGCGAATCCAGATCCACTTAACAACCGCGTTACTAACTTAACAACTGTAGCGATTCACTTAACATCTGCGGCAAGAAAGGTCGTAAAATGAGGCAAAACTCACTTAACAACTGTCTTGCTTAGTGAAGGGAATTTTGGGCTCAGTTGTGGTCATAAGTCGAAGACCACCTGTAGTTCTCTATGTTTTATCTTGGTAGAAACATCCACTGTGCTTCCTTCTCTTGGGTTTAATTCTAGAGTTGGAAGAAGAAAAAGAGAAGTTCAGACACTGTAGAAACAGATTGGAGAAAGCTTTGAATCCAAATATTTCCAAGAGCTCCACCTTAACCCTCCAGCCAGGGAGAAAGTAGCCCATAGATTAATGTTTCTAACATTTCATTGTATCATTTGTAATAAGGAGGATTAAAACACGTAAAAGGGGAGGGAGGGATGCAAATTTAATTTTCCTAATTTTAATTCCTTTGCATTACTTTTTAAAAAAAAATTATTATTCTGTAAACCACCTAGAGTGGCCTGCAACAGTGAGATGGGTAGCATACAAATTTAATAAATAAAATGAAATTCTCTCCACCCTAGTTTCCCTGAGACAAACACATTCATAATCTATTTGGAAAATTGTCAGAGTCTTACCTGAGAAGAAAAATATCATCAGGACTCTTCTCTTACTTTCTACTTCTCCTGCAGTTGTTGATATCTGCATTGTGAAGTGGGGTGGAGGTGTCTTTAAAAACCCAGTTGGGATATGTGGAGGAGTAAAGGTAAATAATTCTTCCTCCCACTCCTGCAAGTCTTTGGAAACAGAAGTGTTCCGGAGCCTGTTCAGCCTCATATTCCTCTTTCTGCCATGAAAAGATGAAAGATTCTGTGATGTAATCATAAGGTCAAAGATTATTGCATGTTTCAATCTATTCCTTGTCTGGGGAGCTTCCAAGTCTAAATCAAATAAGCATCACATTTTATTTCATTGAGACAGTTAACATTTCCCACGTCTTGGAGATACATGGGCCTTCAGTGAATTGCGCCTCAATCTTCTGCTACCTCAAAGTGAAGACAATAAAAAGAAAGATCTAAGGATACAGCAATGAGAAACAATCTCCACCCTAAATGCAGATAATAGTAATTTATTTGAAGAGCACCAACCCAACCAGTTAACTGGAATGTCTTCAGAGATAGTAATATTTTGATTAGAGGTGAGCCACTGAAGAGCAAGATTAGAGTTATGATATTAAGTTTGCCATGAAATGAAACATTATGGGACCTGATACTAGTAAAGGTATGGAAGTGAAAGCTGGGCTTTGAAGAAACAGGATGCACTGATGCTTTTTAACTTTGTTGGAGAAGACTCTTGAGAATACCATGAACAGGCAAGAAAGCAAACAAATGGATCATAGAACAAATCGACTCACAGTTCTCATTCCACACACAAATGACCAGGTTTAAATTATCCCACTTTGGATAATTATATGAAAACCCTGCTCTCTACAGAAGTTCTAATGTTGGGAAAAGCAGGACAGAGAAGAGGATGATCAATAACCAGGTGGATGGATGATTACAGTGGTGAAGAATGCACTATTGGAAGACCTGAAAGATTAGGTTAGGGACAAATCATCGTAGAGAAAATCTTTCTACGTATGTCAGGTGGTGGGAACCAGAACAACTTAGTGACCAGGTCAAAGTAGCTGCTTTATTGTTATTCTCCTACTTATAAGAATCTCATCAGACTAACTAGGGGTGACATGATAGCAGTGTTCCAATATTTGAGGGGCTTCCACAAAGGAAAAGGGGGTCAACTTATTTTTCAAAGCACCAAGAAGGGAAGGGAAGACACAGTGGATGGAAACTAATGAAGGAGAGAAGCAACCTAGAATTAAGGAAAACTTTTCTAACAGTGACAACATTTAACTAGTGAAACACCTTGCCTTCAGAAGCTGTGGGTGCTTCATCATTGGAGGCTTTTAAGAAGAGACTGGACAGCCACTTGTCTGAAATGTTATAGGGCAGTGGTGGCAAACCTATGGCATGGGTGCCAGAGGCGGCACTCAGAGCCCTCTCTGTGGGCACGCGCGCCGTTGCCCCAGTCCTAGGCCTTCAGCTGGGTTTTATAAAATCTTTTCGCTTTAGGCCTCCACTGCCGTGTGCAAAAAAAAAGAGGGTTCAATCAATCAGTCAATTTCAACTTCTTGCGGGGAAAAAAAAGATCTTGCAAAGTTGGAATTGATTGATTGAACTTTTTAATCCCACCCAGTCTGCCGTTACCACTGCAACAATGCCCAGCCAATGGGCCACACCCAGTCAATGGGCCACACCCACCCGGCACCCAACGATGCATAAGTGGGTTTTGGGTTGCAGTTTGGGCACTCGGTCTCTAAAAGGTTCGCCATCACTGTTATAGGGTCTCCTGCTTGAGCAGGCAGTTGGACTAGAAGACCTCCAAGGTCCCTTCCAGCTCTGCTATTATTCTGTTATTCTGCTATTATTTTGTTATTCTGTTATCTGCCTTCTCTTAGATCAGCGGTTCTCAACCTGTGGGTCGGGACCCCATTTGGGGTCAAACGACCATTTCACGGAGGTCGCCAAACAATGCAGTCCGCCATTTCTTTCCCCTTTTCCTTAGCTGTGCTACTCCCTTTTATTCTATTGGCTTTTGAAAGCCAATAGAATAGACTCTCGTGAATAGAGTCTAATTCTATTGGCTTTCAAAAGCCAATAGGAATTGTGCAGGCTGTCTCTACCCTGCTGAGCCCGCCAAAAGTTGCAATCTGCAAAGTTGTCTGCAGCGAAGGCGAGCTGTCTGGAAGTTTCCACCCCTCCCTGCTGAGCAACTACTAAAAATGTAAGTAAAAGAGGGCCAGGGGGGGAGGTGGGAGGCCGGCAGGCGCAGGGAGGGTTGCTGGCATGCGTGGGGCCCGGCGGTTGCCTTACCTCCCTTGGGCTGGACCAGCTGGTGGCCCAGCCAGTGGTTGGCCTGCACCGTCTCTGCCACTTGCCAGCTACACCTCGGCCGGCGCAGGGGGCAGCACCACACATGCGCGGCGCTCCCGGGCAGGGAAAGTCCTCGACTTACAACTGGTTGGGTAGTCCTCGACTTACGACCGGTTGGGGGTCGCGGCATTAAAAAGATTAAGAACCACTGTCTTAGATACAGACAGCTAAAGGCTTCAGAAGTCTAGCCTCTATTGATTCCTCTCACACAACAATTCTACAGTAAGCTAGCACTCTCTTTACTTTCCCCTCTACTCTAGCTGGAGATTTCATCACAACCTGGATGCTAATGACTTGGCAGCACATAATCAATCTCTCTACTAAGAGGATCCCAGGGAAATTGTAAGAACTAACTGGCCGAGATCCAAAACTGAGAATTCTGCAGGTTATTATCCTGGAAGGCATACGCTATTTCTTCTGACTTCACTATTTACATTTCTTTCTCCTTGCTTTGGGATACTGTGAATCACCTCCCCAACATTTGCTTTTATCTGCAGTCCAATAAATTGGAATATTATCCATAAAACTTGTAGTACAATGATTTAATTATTTTTTTTCAGGTGGCACAAGATACATGTGTGCCAAAGTGAGAGAGATGTAGGATGCTTCCAAAGATTTTTTTTAAAATTATGCTTATCCTGGAATTCAAATCATATTTTGGATTGGAGTCAGATGCACATTTTATAAACATTCCCACCCTTTTATCTGATCCGATCTGTGGTAATATACAGGGTAGGATCTATGAGTAATATGAAGTATTGCCGTATGAGATAGTTGATTTCTTAGATCAAAGATTTGTCAATTGGTAGAAACCTGTCTGGTTTTCTATCTACAATGGAATGGCACAATTCTGGTTCAGGTTTTTTTTTTTTTTTGGAAAACAAAAGAACAGAAAAATAAGAAAAAGGCAATGAAATTAATTCAAAGTTTACTACCCGCCTAATTCCCAATATGCTGACGTTTTGTATAAACTGTATCCAATTTATGTAAGAACTAATAAGGGATCTCTTTAAAAAGTGCAGCATTCTGTTTTCATTCTTTGACATGAACATTTCCTTTTCAAAGTACAAATTCCTCCAATTCATACTCTTTTACCAAATGTAACTATTACTCTTTGCAGATGACTTTCCCACCATCCCTTCTTTTCCAGATCTTATTTTGGACAGGTTTTTGATCAAAGAAAGACTGCTATCCTGGATGCATTTGATTCCAGCACCTTTTTTTTTTTTTTTTTGCTGCAAAGTGTGGATGCAAAATGAACAAAGTCTCCCAGAGAAAAATGTGGCAAAATTCTCTCTCAGCATGGCTTGTTCATCTTTCTGAGTTTCCGGGGCATAATGAGATATTGTACAGGTAATCCTCAACTTATGACCACAACTGGGACCATAACTTCCATTGCTAAGCAATTGAGTCATGTCTGATTTTATAACCATTTTTGTCACGGTTGTTAATCAAATCACTGCAGTCCTTAAATGAATTGTGTGGTCATTAAGCAAATCCAGATTCCTCATTGACTTTGCTTGTTGAAAGCTGCCTGAGAAAGTTGCAAATAATGATCATATGATCCTGGACCATTATAAATACATGCTGGTTGTCAAGCACCTGAATTTTAATGATAGGGCAGCTGCATAGGGATGCTGGAACAATCGTGTGATAACTGGTCATAAAGCCCCCTTTTTAGTGCCATAGTAATTTCAACCAGTTGCTAAACGAATGTTTATAAGTCAAGGACTACCTGTATTGTGAAAAATCAATGCAGTTATTTCTTCCTACTTTTTCTTACCTTTTAATGCTCCTGTTAACAAAACTCTCTGGGCCCTTGTCTCTATTCCTGTTTTGGCAACAAAAATGGGGATCAAAAGGAGATATCGCAAAGCATATTATTATCATGTCACAGGAGTATCACTAAAAATTCTGGAGAGGAATACAAACTAAGTGGCTTTCTAGGTAAGCAATATTTCCTCCCCCCCCCAAAAAAATAGCTGCTGAATCCTTTTTCCTTTTATCTGCAGAAAGAGTAATTTTTAGCTATCAGTTGCTAAGAATGTGGCAGAAGAGCAACTTTCCCTAGGAGAGGGATATTCTTGAAGGGTGAACCCGTGGGATTATAAATCTTTTACATCTTTCTCAGATGAAGAATTTTGCATTGTACAGTATAGCTGTCTGATAAAAACACCCACACTGAACTTTCCGGTTTTAATTTATGTTTGCATGCTATCTTATTCATTCCATCTTTTTTCCTGAAGTGTTTTTTTTCCCTGAATCTCAACTGAAATTGATGATTCATTGATGATTTATTTATCTATATTCCATCTTTATTTTTTTAATAAATAAGGCAATGAATATGCGCAATACTTCTTCCTACTTCTATTTTCCCCCACAGCAACTGTGTGAGGTGAGTTGGGCTGAGAGAGGACTGCCCACGCTGGCTTTCACGCCTAAGGCAGGACTTGAACTCATGGTCTCATGCCCAGTGCTTTAACCACTGGCTGTTTTATGACTCGTGGACTTCAACTCCACAAGTCATAAAAGAGCCAAAGTTGTCTACCCCTGCACTAGACTAAACTGGTTCTACCACTTTTTTTTGTTAATTTTTGAAATGACAGCTTGTTTAATGGATTTATTTCCTATACTACTTCTCCTATCTTTTTCTTTGATTGCTAATGATTCATTGTTTCATTTTAATAAAATATAGAATTGCAAGTTTAACTACAAGGATAGCTAATGAGAAAGATAATAGATTTGGATAATATGGCAAGGACTTTTTTTTTTTTTTTACAAAACTGCTGTTTATTTTTATTGTTTTTCAGGTTTGTTCTTTGTTTTTAAAGATGAAGTGGTATACAAGTCCGAATGCTATTGCTGTTCCTATTATTGAATAGTAAATCTGAAATACATTTAGCTTGGTTAAAGTTTGTTTAATGCCAAATTTCCATGAATTGCCTAGCATTTTTGGATTTAGTTTTAGCCAAGAGATTAAACCACCCTCCTTGGTAGACTGAGAAGAAATGATAAAACTATTGGGAATCTTTCTATGCAGATTCTTCTTGTTCTTCTACTATTTCCCCTTTCCTCAAGCAGTTGAATGGATGAATGGGTAATTATGAGAGACTGATGTTTGTGTTTCAGTTATCCAACATACTTGTCAAACCTGCCTCAGCTTGATCGTAAAAATGATTCTCGATTTGTTGAGAAAAGTATAATTTACTAGAAGTCAAGTGAAATACAGTAGTGCAAAGTGTTCTGATCCAGAGTTAAGTTGCTTTGTAAATCCAGATCAGACAGATAAACTCAATAAGAATGATTATAAAACAGACATTTTATTCTGAGATACTTGCAATTGTGGTTGTTGTTTCTGGATATCGCAATCTGTTCATTCTTATAGGTAAAAAATTAATACTTCCTCCATACCAACTTCTAACGTGGAATGGGGCCGAGTCCTGCGGTAGCCCCATGCTATCTCAGACAAAGGCACTCCCAAACTGGCCCATGGCCAGGATATCCTGTGATGAACTCAGTAACTCCTCCCACATACCTGATAACATGAGATAGCTGACTAGCTAAACTACATTACCCACAAGCCATCTCTTAAGGAGATAGCATTTAACCCAATAAATGCCAAACATTCTAACATAAAGACCTACATGCTCTAGTCAGGGTTACATGATCCAGAACACTCCTCGCTTGGAAATTTAAATTTCCACTACTAACTAACTGAAATAAGCAAAGAAAACATAGCATTAAGCATGCAATTCTCATTGCTAACTAACTAGTGATTAAAATAGGTAAAAACATGGTATCAAACATGCATAACTATAAGGTAAATAGAAAACATGCACAATTATAACAGAAATAAGCAAGTGTTACATCAAACAATGCATAAACACAATACATAGTTTGAGGTTCAATCTTCTAGTTCGATCTTTCTCAGCAACAGGACCAAATCGGTGATCAGCCTGGTGCAAGAGTCTTTGAGTCATGATCTGGCTCACGTGGCTTCACGATCTGGACCTCAGCTTGGTGAACTAGTTCATCAAAACTGGGTGGGGCCCGGTGCACAAGTCCCATGTGCCAATAGTCCTGGTATGCATTCTTGTCTCTCAGCAAGACAAGGTCTTCTTTCTGTAAAAGTAACTGGAACCAAATCTGGAACAGAAAAACTGGAACCCAAAATTTCTTAGGAACAAAGGAACCTGGATTCACATGATGCTCAGGAACCGAAGAACCTGGAAGCACAGGAAACTCAGAAATGGCAGGAGCTGGAAAAACAGGAACAGCAGGAGCTGGAGAATCAGGAGCATCAGCAGAAGCTGGAGAATCAGGAACAGCAGGAGCCAAAGGGTCTGGAACCACCGGTGGAGCATTGGAGATGACTGCTGCTGTTGTCATGAGGGTGGTGAAGACTTCATGTGTGGGTGTGGGTGTCTTTGACATAGAGTCCATGATTTTGCGGGGTATGCCAATCATGCGCTCCATGCTTCGCCCATGTGAGATGCATGGGGAGGGTAATTTTTGGCCTTCAGACATTTGTCAATCACTGGATCATGACAAATATCTTCAATAGTCTGTAAGTCTTTGCAGGCTCCTACAAGGTTAACTCTTGGGATGCCAAGACAAGTGATCAAGACGATCAAAACTATGCCCAAACTCAGGTTTCTCCACTTAGAGGAGGGTTTGAAGCAGATTGGTTGAAGTATACTGGGTGCCTGAGGTTGAAGGTTGGCATGTTGATCTGGAACTGGAAGCATATAGCATTGTGTTCTCTGTGGCATCTGGCTGTCTGGACAAGCCAAGAACTCAGGACCTTCTAGCCAGATTAATTGTGTGACAAGGTTGGGCCACTTAACTTGATTCACAAGGTTCTTAACTGTTGGCACATGTTGTCATTGTTCAGGGCTTAAAGATGTTTCAATCTTTTTTACTCTGTTGCCTACATATACGTAGAAGTGTCTGCTTTGTTTGCAGATGTAGCTTGCTATCACCTTGCTGTCTGCGTAGAGGGTGGCAGACTGTAGTTCAAGGCGCAATGTCTTTGCTGTCAAGTTGGTGAGCTTTACAGCCAAAGTGGTACCATATAGTTCTAACCTTGATATGATGTGACCTTGTTGTATTGTTAGGCTCGCTTTGCCAAAGAAGACACTGAGATTGCAGCTCTCCCCGCTGTAGACTCTGAAGTATCTTATGGTTACAATCAAAACAATGTAAGTGTGGCTCTCCCCACTGTAGACTGTGACGTATCTTAAGGCTGCATTTACCTTCGTTGATACATCTGAGAAAGCGTACAATTCTTTCCTTTGTGCGGTGGCAGGTGAGCTGGAGACATACGTGTGCTACACTTGTATACTTTGGAGACATCTTGGGAGTGCACTCCATGACTCCCAATCAAGATTTTGGCTTCAGGATTGAGGAATCGTGAGCTCCCTTCTAATGGCTGGATGCAGAGTCCAGTGGTTTCTTTCCCCGCTGTGCACTGTGGCACAGAGCACATTTCTTTGCTTGGGGGGTTCACTGAGGAATGGTGGGTCGTTACACACTAAAGTGCAGTTAACCTTGATGGACGCCTCTGGGTGCTCTTCGGAGCCATGCTGGGGCTCCTTGGTTGAAGGAGGAGTAGAAGCTGCTCATTGTAGCTGTCCAGGGTCTGGTGGCAGGGCTTCTGAGTGCTTGTCACTTGTGTTCGGTTGACACTTCCCCTCAGCTTCATTAGTTTTGGCTGTGTCTTCCGGAAACTCACAGCATTTGAAACCAGCCTTGTACTCTCCTAAGTCTAACTTTCTTCCCCAGGGTATTGGAGGATCCAATGGTGCTGTGCAGGGTTTGCTTTTAGACTGGGTTGGTACAGTCTTGAGATCATCTGGAATACAATCAGTGGCTTTCGGGTAGACCTCATAAACATTGTTTCCTAGAGCAGGGAAATGTGGTACAGACGGCTGGCATTTTTCTTCAGAAAATTTCATGTTGGGGCTAACTGCCAGTGGCACAGACTCGGCCCTCTCGGCCAGTATGTTTTTCGGGTAGAGCTCAGTCCCCATGAGGTGGTCTATATTCTCCAGAAGCCTTTTACATTCTTTGTTTAGTGGCTTCAGGCTTTGCATCCTGATATCTACTGTTGGGTCTCCTAATTGCATCGAGTGATCTCACGGTAGTTTAGACCTCTTTCTCTGCAACAGAGAATGGAACAGAAGCTGGGGGAGGCTTCCGACTGCCTCTGGAGGCCCAATCCGGGCATCGGAGGCCTTTTCCAGGCCGCTGCTGCCCAGAAAGGAGGCCAGGGGATGCTTCCGTGGGCCTTCAGAAGCCTGATCTACAGGCCTCTGCCGGCAGAACAGAAGCCAGGGGCGGTGGCCATGTGGCTCCAGAGTTGGGGGGGGGGAGAGCAGGAGATAGGCACTACAAGCACCATGAGAGTTCAGGCACCCATTCTCTGCAAAAGAGGATAAGTGCTAAACTCGGGCGATATTACAGCACGCAGGAACTTCCATTGACTCTCCTCTCCCTGAAAAGCAGGAACCCAGCAGAAAGGAGATGGATCTTTTGAAGATAAGTCAATTTAGCATGGCAGAAATGAAGGGGGAAGCGTGAGGTATCTTTGTGAATCGTGGAGGCCTTGGGGGCCTGTTCCATCACTAGGCCCTCCATGACCTTCCCCATCCTGATTTACCTCATGTGCAAATAATGAACCGCCTATTTGCCCAAGCATTCATTTAGCAAATATGTGGGTAAAAGCAGGGAGTGATCTTCTTCGAGGTACAAGATTTATTCCCATGAATTTTTGAGTTACGAATGAAATGGGCAGGCTCCATTATATTCGTAACTCGAGGACTACCTGTAATTGCCTTCAGGTATTTTGCCAGATTCTAATATATTGTATATTTGTATAATTACATGGTTTGGTAAAGAAATGATAATATCACTATTCATGAGGCATAAAAACTTGTAAAAGGCATTAAGTCAAAAAACCTGAAAGGCAATTCTTGATAGGACTAATACGGAAGTATCTGGGCCAAAATAGTTGAAAACTGTTTGTTAGATTTTGGTATTATTGCAAACCAACGAATTACTTTGTCACTAATGTGTTTAAATAGAAATAGAAAAACAAATGGGATAGAATATATCTAAGCAGAATGCCATTGGCCTATTTCCTTCCTAGGAGTAGTAGAACTGCCAACGTTCTGACTAATGGAACATTTCAAGGAAGTTCCAGGCATATTTATTCTGAAAAAGTCTGTAATCATGGACCCATTATCGGCACATATTGAATGGATGCCAGAATCTGAATTTCTCTTGCTTGCATCTAACTTTTCTTGCTAAACCCCTCCCTTATTTTGCAGTCATAAGTCACATCTTCCAATTAGCCCGGAGGGCAAAGATTCACTTCTGTTCCTTTTCCCGGGCTTTCCTTATAAATCTCCTCCCTTTCTCTGTCATCTGAATTAACTCTAAAAATACCAGACAGTTCTGTATATCTTGTCAAAGCAATAATATCCCATATTAACAGCGTTGACATCCAGACCCCCTTACAAAAAGGACAGATCCTGTAATGTAAACAAAAGCATATGTTAATGACTAGTTTTCGGTTTGTTGGGGTATTTTGCATGAAATCTTTTCATGAGCCTGTCAGCTTTCACCTCACTGGATTTCACCCAGGTGGCTTCAGACAATGGGTATCCCTTCCATTGTACTAGGTACTGCAATTTCCCTTTAAAAATTCTAGAGTCAAGGATACGTTTCACTTCATAGTGGGTCTGTCCCGCAACTATGAGGGGCCCAGGTGCCTTCTTCGGGGGAGGTCTTAAAGTGGAGCCCGATAAGGTTTCAACAAGCTGCAGTGGAAGACTGGGTGAATTCTCCCTAAAAGTCTAGGGAGTTTTAGTTCTACGGTGACCGGATTGATGATCCTTACTATGGGGAAAGGCCCCAAGAATTTTGGTCCCAATTTCTTCCTGGGCAATTTGAGGCATAAATATTTAGTTTACAAATAAACCTTTTCCCCAACTTGGAATGTTCTTTGGGGAGCCCTCTTTCTATCAGCCTGTTTTTTATAGGTTTCAAAAGTCTTTTTTAAAGCAGTTTTTGTGTTTCTCCAAACTTCTTCCTACCCCCTCACCTATTGGTCAAATGTCTGGGAAGCGGAGGGCACCTGAGGGTATTCAGGTATTGGGCTGAACTCTTTTCCTGTGGCCACTCTGGAAGGTGTGTAGCCGGTGCTGCTGTGCACAGAATTATTGTACGCCACCTCCGCAAAAGGGATGAGGTCAGTCCAGTTCGTCTGTTGGTAAGAAACATAGCATCTAAGATATTGCTCAACCATTTTGTTAGCGGATTCTGCAGCCCCATTGGTGACCGGATGAAAAGCAGATGATGATCCAATTAATTTAAGAAAATGCCTCCAAAACTTTGCTGTGAACTGCACCCCCCTGTCCGAAATTATTCGCTTAGTGGCGTCATGCAGCCAGTAGATATGTTTCAGGAACAATTTGGTCAGTCGTTGGTCAGATGGGAGTCCTTTGCAGGCGATGAAATGAGTCTGCTTCAAGAACAGGTCTATCACAGTCCAGATGACAGTATTTCCTCTACTTTCAGGTAGGTCTACTATAAGGTCCATAGCTATTTCTTCCCAGGGTTGAGAAGGGTCTGCCACCGGCTTCAGTAACCCGGGGGTTTTCCCTGGGATTCTTTTCATTGTGGCACATACAGTACAACTTTTTACACAGTTTTCCACATCCCGTTTCAGCCCCGGCTACCAAAATTGCCAGTGGGTGAGGTGTAAGGTTTTCAAATATCCAAAGTGTCCATCATGGCTGTGTTTGAGAGCATTAAGACGGAGGGCTTCGGGCAAATATAGTTTTCCCCCTTTATAAGCCAAGCCATCCCTGCACATTAGGGAGGTTTGATTATCTTTGAACCATTGATTGGTGAGCTCTCATTTTATTTTCTTTACCCCAGGATCATCAGGATTGGGGACCCTGCGAGGCGTAAGTTGAGTGGCGGTTTGTGGATTGGGGATAATTGCCTCGTTAACCTCCTCCTGTTCGCTTTTGTATTGAGGTAACCTGATAGCGCATCAGCTAGAAAGTTTTTTCCTCCTGGTATGTACTTTAGAGTGAAGTTGAAGCGGTTAAAGTACTGTGCCCACCGCACTTGCTTTGGGGACAATTTGCAGGGAGTTTTCAGTGCTTCTAGATTTTTGTGATCTGTCCATACTTCAAATGGCACCTTGCTCCCTTCTAGATAGTATCGCCAGTTTAATAGTGCCCACCTAATCGCAAAGGCCTCTTTCTCCCAGATATGCCCATCTCCACTCACTTTCAGTAAATTTCTTAGAGGTGTAGGCGCAGGGTTGCAGGACCCCACTTTTGTTCTTTTGCAGTAATACACCTCCAACTGCCACATCGCTGGCATCGGCTTGAATCACAAAGGCAGGGGTGCTTTAGGATCGGTTCAGCAGCAAATAGTCTCTTTAAATTCTCAAAAGTTGTTTGACAGCCCATCGTCCATGCTAGTGGTTGGCCCGGTTGTGGCTTCCCTCCTCCTTTGCCTGTTTTGAGTAGTTCTGTAAGGGGTAGGGCAATCTCGGCAAAAGAGGGGATGAATTGACGATAAAAATTGGCCAAACCCAGAAAGCTCTGGAGCTGTTTGTGAGTTTTCGGGGGCTGTCATTCAATTATAGCTTTCACCTTGGCTGGATCCATTTCAATACCCTCGTTGGAAATTCTATAGCCAAGATAATCTAATCGGGTCTGGTGAAATTCACATTTCAACAATTTGGCATAAAGCTTGGCATTCAATAGTTTCTTTAACACTTCTCTCACCAGCTTTATGTGATCAGTCATATTCGTGCTGTATATCAAGATATCATCAAGATATACCAAAACCCCTTTGTACAAGTGATCATGTAGGACAGTGGTTCTCAACCTTTTTAATGCCACGACCCCCAACCGGTCGTACGTCAAGGACTACTCAACTGGTCATAAGTCGAGGACTACCCAACCGGTCATAAGTCAAGGACTTTCCCTGCCCGGGAGTGCCGCGCATGCATGGTGCTGCCCCCTGCGCCGGCCAAGGCATAACTGGCAAGGGGCAGTGACGGCACAAAGTGACCACTGGCTGGGCCACCAGCTGGCCCAGCCCAAGGGAGGTAAGGCACCCGCCAGGTCCCACGTGCACCAGCAACCCTCCCTGCGCCCGCCGGCCTCCTACCTCCCACCCCTGGCCCTCTTGTACTTACATTTTTAGTAGTTGTTCAGCAGGGAGGGGTGGAAACCTCCAGACAGCTCGCCTTCGTTGCAGACAACTTGCAGCACCGTTTGCAGAATGGGACTTTTGGCAGGCTCAACAGGGCACAGACAGCGTGGACAATTCCTATTGGCTTTTGAAAGCCAATAGAATTAGACTCTATTCAAGAGAGTCTATTCTATTGGCTTTCAAAAGCCAATAGAATAAAAGGGAGTAGCACAGCTAAGGAAAAGGGGAAAAAATGGTGGACTGCATTGCTTGGTGACCCCCGTGAAATGGTCGTTCGACCCCAAATGGGGTCCCGACCCAGAGGTTGAGAACCACTGATGTAGGACCTCATTAATCAACTGCATAAATATGTCTGGGGGCCCCTGTAGTCCAAATGGCATGACTTTGAACTGATAGTTCCCCTTAGGACAGTTGAAGGCAGTTTTCCACTCGTCTCCCTCTTTTATTCTCACCCGGTAATATGCCTCTCTCAGGTCTAATTTAGTGAAGACACTCCCCTTAGCCAGATGGGTTAATAAATCCTTTAGGAGGGGGAGGGGGTATTTATTTTCTACACTCACAGCGTTGAGACCCTTATAGTCTACGCAGAGACGAAGAGACCCATCTTTTTTCTCTTTGAATAACACAGGGGCTCCCACGGTAGATTTGGCCCGTTCGATGAACCCCCTTGCTAGGTTTTTGTTCATGTATCCTCCATTTCAAGGGGGGACATAGCATACATTCTCGGGCGTGGGAGTTTGGCTCCTGGCACCAATTCGATGGAGTAGTCATTGGGTCTGTGAGGGGGCAGGGCATCGCATCCTTTTCCACTAAATGCCTCCTCCAGGTCCCGGTATTCATTGGGGATGAGTGGTTCGCCTGGCGGTGGTGAGGCAGCCATGTGCGCTCATTGGGTGAGATGTCCCGCAACATCAGTTGAATCAGCGGGAGGTTTAGGTCTTATAGGTAGTCTCACAGTTCTTATTCCTTTCTCCCACCAGATAAACGGCTTCCATTTGTCCAACCAGGCTAGCCCTAGGATCACAGTCATTTTTGGAGCCACTAGGAAGCAAATAAACTCCCAGTGCGCACCTAATTCTAGGCATAAGGGCTCAGTTAATTGTGTGACAAGAGTCCTTCCCATCAGGGAGCCATCGGCTTGCTCAAACCTCACAGGTTTGGAAAGCTGTTTTGCCCATATGCCCATTTTCATGGCAAACAGCAGACTAATAATGCAGCAGGTGCGTTCAGAATCAATTAGCACATATAAGTCCATTTGTGCCCCAGACGTAGGGATTATAAATTTGGCGGCCAGTGAAAAAGGTGGGATTTGTTGACTCACCATTGAGTCATTCTCTCCTTCATCGTCATTGTCAAAGGAGGGTAGAGCAGGGACAGGTCCACCCGGAGTCCCGGAGTCCTCTTGTGTAGGGGGTGTAATCTGGGCAACAGGTTCTTGCGTGACCCAATTGGATTTTTCTCTCGTTAGCGCTTTGGCAGGTTTCCTTCTCGCTGCTGATTCCGGTCTGCTCTACAGTCGGGGGTAGGGGACTGGACAGTTTGCTGTTCAATGGCCCTTCTGTCCGCACCGGAAACACTTAATTGACAGGCCTGCAGGTAATAATAATAATAGTAATAATAATAGTAGTAAAGTTGGAAGGGACCTTGGAGGTCATCTAGTCCAACCCCCTGCTCGGGCAGGAAACCCTACACCATTTCGGACAAATGGCTGTCCAGTCTCTTCTTAAAAACTTCCAGTGTTGGAGCATTTATGCTTCTGGAGGCAAGCTGTTCCACTGATTAATTGTTCTCACTGTCAGGAAGTTTCTCCTTAGTTCTAGGTTGCTTCTCTCCTTGATTAGTTTCCACCCATTGCTTCTTGTCCTGCCTTCAGGTGCTTTGGAAAATAGCTTAATTCCCTCTTTTTTATGGCAGCCCCTGAGATATTGGAATACTGCTATCATGTCCCCCCTTGTCCTTCTCTTCGTTAAACTAGACATACCCAATTCTAGCAACCGTTCCTTATATGTTTCAGCCTCCAGTCCCCTAATCATCTTTGTTGCTCTTCTCTGTACTCTTTCTAGAGTCTCAACATCTTTTTTACATCGTGGTGACCAAAACTGGATGCAGTATTCCAAGTGTGGCCTTACCAAGGCATTGAAAAGTGGTATTAATACTTCACGTGATCTTGATACTTCGCGTGGTCTTTCAGCCGTTGCAGTAGTCGGAGGGTTTCGTGGGGGTGGTTGTTGTTCAGGTTGCTCTGGCTGCTGCTCGGATTCAGCTGGGGGAGGCTTCTTATAGCAGGCGAGCTGAATGTCTAGCTTCACCGCTGCCTGGTACCATTCTCGCAGTTGATCAGGTACTGCTCGATAGACGCAGGCCTGAGAGAGGTGATTGTCTAATCCCTCAGTGAAGTGATGGATTAGGGACTGCTCTGGCCACCCCTCTATTTGACCTGCTATCTTGCAAAACTCTCGCACGTATCAGGTCTGCCGGCTTGTTTTATTTTGTGGATTTGTTCTCTTGCTTTTATGCCAAGGGATGGATCCTCAAATCTTTCTTTCAGACCTAGGAGAAAGAGATGGGGGTCCTCCAATTCTGGGGCTTCTCATTATATAAATTGTTCAGCCATTCGGATGCTTCTCCCTCCAGGCTGGATGCAATCACATCGACCATGGCCCCTGGGTCTGGGTAGAGATAGGCCCAGCGATTCAAGTGAGAACGCACTTGGTTGAGGAAAGAAATTAACTTCTCTGGGTCCCCATCGAAGGTTGCTCTAAAAAGTGGTGCAATTATAGGCTATTGGGGCCTCCACGATGCTGTTGCTGCTGGCCCCATCCTGGCTGCAGATTTATGCCCAGGGGTTGCACGTTTGGGGGCTGTGGCCAATCTCCTTGCTGCTGGCCCCATCCTGGCTTCTGTACTACCCCAAGCTGTTGCAAGACCTCTATTAGCTGTGGCAAGTTCAGAGATTGTGTATCATCTACCTACTGGGTTTGTCAACCTCCCCATTGCTGCAGAGGCCTCAGACTGGGATTCCCTCTCTCTTCAGGGCTGGGTGTCCCTGGCAGGGGAAGACAGGATCTGAAAAGCTTTCTGATCTGCAATGGAGGGGCTGCAAGCTTCCCTCTGCAGGAGTGGATTTCTGTCTCTCTCCTCTGGGGTTTGAAATATTTCCAGTAACTCACCAAGGCTTTGAGTTGCAGTTTGTCTATTCTCCATCCATTGAAGAAATGTTTTAGACAGGTTTCATCAACTTGAATGATTTTGTAGGACTTTCAGTGCCATTCAGTTAAGTAACCCCAATTTCCTTCTGGATCAACCTCAGGATCCTTCTGGATCTACCCAATATCCAGCTGGCCAGCCGGATGGATTCATCCATCCTCAATCAAAAGGCAGTGTCAGGAGAGAATCAATTGGCAGGTGGGCCTTGGAAAACCCATCATCAGTGACACTAACCCGTCCTAGGTTTAAAGGCAGAGATGTCTCTGTAGGGGAAGGGATTCTTTGTAGAATGTTATGAAATGGCTAAGAAGGAGCAATCCTCTTCATCCTCAATACCTTCATGAAAGAGCTGGGAGAGATCAGCCAGGGATCTGTGTTGTGTGCCATCAATATCCAGAGACTCTGCCCCTCCTCAGATTGCAAGGAAACTGCTAGTAGTCTGAGCCATTGACTCTACAGTAAATAAGGAGATGGAGAACATTTTTTCAGGAAGGCATTTCTTAGCCTTTGCAAAGCTGGATGGTTTGGCCTCCAAATCCAGGCACAAATCAGGGGATTAAAAGGTATTTTGCAAGCCAACAGGGCCTTGATTATGTGCTCTTTCAGAACAATTTTTATTTGGAGGCATTTCTATATGGCCACTGTCCTGGGATTTTAAAAATCTTTGTTCTTAATCACTTATTTTCTTATCAATGATTGTAAATGAAGCTTTTAAAAATGGTAATATCCCGGTGTATTTAAAAGTATTTAAATACTTTTGAGGATCCTTGCACAAATGCAACTCAAAGAATTACAGAAAGAATGGGAGCCGTGAAAATATCTGTAAAACATTACTTACTGAAAAGTTGGGAGAATAATTAGGGAAAAGAGTTTTGTTTTTAAAGTACTAGTCTTTAAAAAAAAATCCTAAAAAAAACCCCAATCAAAAGCAGAGGGGACATTGGAAAAAGGCAATAGAGATAGTCCTCAACTTACAACAGTTTTTAGTGACCGTTCAAAGTTACAACGGCACCGAAAAAATGGCTTATACCCGGTTTTCACACCTACGACTGTTGCAGCATCCCCATGGCCACACAATCAAAATTTGGATGCTTGGCAACTGACTCATATTTATGATGGTTCCAGGGTCCCTGGGTCATGTGATCACCTTTTGTGAAGTTTTCAGAGCAAATTCAATAGGGAAGCCAGATTCACTTAACAACCATATTACAAACTTAACAACTGCAGTCATTGACTTAACACATATGGCAAGAAAGGTCGTAAAATGGGGCAAAATTCACTTAACAAATCTGTTGCTTTGCAACAGGGGTGTCAAACTTAATTTCACTGAGGGCCGCATCAGCATTGCAGTTGTCCTGGTGGGGCCGGATGGGTGTGGCCAGAGTGGGTGCAGCCTACTGGGTGGGTGTGGATGGAGTGGGTGTGGCCTACTGGTTGGGAGTGGCCAGTTCTACATCATTCGCTCAAGGGTGCCTATAGGGTCCTGGGCAGGAGTGGGACAGATCTGAGGGTCTCTGGCAGAAGGGGGTGGGACCGGGGCAAGTGCCAAGGCATGGTCCACCGGGGCAAGTGCCAAGATGGCCACCACAAAATTATACATTGGCTCCCAGCCGGTCTGAGCCAGGGCCAAGGCAGCGGGGGCCGTTCCCTCACTGTTTCCAGGATGGCTTTGCGGGCCGCATGAAACCACTTTGCGGGCTGCATCCGGCCCCCGGACCTTGTGTTTGATATGTCTGCTTTGCAACAAAAATTTGGGTTTCAATTGTGGTCATAAATCAAGGACTACCTTTATTATGTACATCATCTGATTTCCCGAGGGAAAAGGAAAATACAAATCTAGTAAATGAATGTTCTTCTCTTACCTGAGTTGGAGGTTCAACCACGGTTTCCGCTCCCCCAAAAGAAAGAGTCAACTTCCTTCTATTCTTCCCTGTGAGGAAGACAGAATTTCAAAAAGCATAATTAATGAAATGGGAGGAGGTATGCTATCGAAGAGAAAACACAGAAGATAAGAAAGTTAGGATTTATCAGAGAAGTGGAATGACCTTATTATTATCTCTTGAGGTGTCCTGATTTGGATCTTCCTGAGAGATCCTCCTGAAAAACAGTTCTTGAGGGAGATTTGGTGGATGCCTCATTCTCTCAGGATCTCTGAAGTCCATTGTAAAGGACTTGAAATAGTATGAAGGAGAAAAGAATTAATGGTCATCACACATCATGAAGTGGTTTTTTATTGCAAAGCACTCAGTTTCGATCAATTAGGCTGGGAAGTAAGAAAGAAATGGCTCTGCAAAACCTTTCTTCTAGAAAGGATAAGCAACTATACAAAGATTAGTGAAGCATCTCCACATAGTATGAAAGCCAGGGAACTCTGGTAAAGAGCTATTAAGACTTTGAATATGTTATCCAATGGCAAATAATTTTGTGTATAATATAATGCCTGAACAACAGGAAGATATTTGGATGAAAGCTTTAAAATTTATATTAAATTAGAATTTAAAAGATTTTTTTAATAAAATGATGTATCATTCTATTTAATGCGTGATGACCGGCCAAAGATGTATAAGGGAGATCATTTAGTTGCCGTTTTTTGGGAAGGGCTAGGGTTTTATAAAGGGGTAATAATACTTCATGGGATCTTGATTCTATGCCTCTGTTTATACAACCCAGGATTGTATTAGCTTTTTTGGTTGTTGCTGCACACTGCTGGCTCATAGTCAAGTGATCATCGACTAGGACTCCAGGGTCCCTCTCACAGTTACTGTTTTTAAGCCAGGTCTCGGCCAACCTGTATTCGTGCCTTTGGTTTTTCCTGCCTAAGTGTAAGACTTTGCTTTTCTCCACGTTGAAACTCATTTTGTTGGATAGGGCCCATTGTTCGAGCTTGTAAGATCTTTTTGGATCCTGAGTTTGTCTTCTGGGGTGTTGGCTACTGACAGCTTGGTGTCACCTGCAAATCTGATGAGTTCCCCTTTAATTCCTTCATCTAAATCATTAATGAAGATATTGAAGAGTACTGGGCCTAAGACAGAACCTTACCTGCTTACTTCTCTCCATGTGGATGTAATGCTGTTGAGGACTACTCATTGAGTACAGTTTATCTGGGAGAGACATAAAACTACACAGCAGGACAAAAAATAATTAGGCAAGAAGTTGCAGAAAAGTTTTTAAACCTTGGTTGGAACTTGAGTAAGCTTCTCAGTATAACTGCAACCTTCAACTATTCAATTTCTTTTATTGTTTAATTAAGTTACAGTCTTTCCATTGACTATCATGTTATCTCGTTTCTCTTATCCACTTTTTCCCTTGCCTTCCCTTGCTTTGCCTTTCATTTCTTTCATTCATCCCTGTTTTATTCATCCCTCATAATCCTTCTTTTTCTAGTTTATTGTTTATTACGTAGGAAATACACCTCAGGAAGATGGGCCTGCAGGGAGGAGACAAGATGGTGACACATTAGCAGCTCCTGAAATAAAGTTCTGGCTTGTGACAGGCCTTATCCCTTCCGGCTTACATCTACAACCCAAAAATTGTCATTCAGAGGCAAGAATCTGGACCAGCCCCAGCAATGATACTGGGACCCATCAATCCATAAATAAGGAATGAACAGATAAAAACTTAAGTATAAATTCTCCTTTAACTGCAAGACCTGAAGATTCCAATGGTTTGAAGAGATTCCTCTGGATTTGTAGGTGACAATGCAGGGGAAAAAAAAAAAGAGATTTAGTTACAATTAGTGAAAGAAAAAATGTAGATGGAGAGGGGAAAAAGCAGTTAAAAAGAATTCAGTTAACCTCTCTGCTCTTTTCAGTTTCTTTATTCAGTTAACCTCTCTGCTATTTTCAGTTTCTTGACACAGAATGATTGACAATTGAATAAAAAGCTTCAAACATGAGCTTCTCAAATCCTTCCAAAAATTTTCATGTGTTAATACATATTTAAAGCAACTAAAGAGTTTAATACATGAGTATAATACATGACTCAAACATAACCATAGCATTGATATTTAATTTTATTTAAATCAAATTTAGACTTCTTCTTAGTCCTCATCACACTATAGAACAGCAAAATGCTTGAAAAAAATTGGACAATCACTTGTGGGGCTTCTGGTCATTCCAGCTTCATTTTTGAGAGAGGAATTCTTCATCGTTTCAGTTCTTCCCAGATGCTAAACATTGATGTGCATGTGACAATTTCCTCATACATTTTCAGGCCTTGGAATTAATAATGTTTCCTGTTTCTGCACAGATACTGGTTGACTCAGGTCTCAGTTGTACACTGAGCATGCAAATTTGATTAGTTTTGGGGTGCCCCAGTTCTACATCAAGGGTGCACATTTGATTTTTATTTTATTTTTTCATTTGTGCTTGGGGAAGCAGCACCTGTTGAATGTCTTCACATCCTTCTGAGAGCTATGACCAAGTGGGAGAAACATGACAATTGGGGAGCAGGAAGTGCATTTCTAAAAAATAAAATAAAATGAACTTATACTAAATTAATCTCTCTAGGCCTCTAAGTTAGAAGGATGAAACAGACAAAATACTTCTTTTCAGAGTTCAGTCTGTGTAAATTGGAAATCGATATATTGAGCTCATTAATATATAATTAGCATACATTCTCACCCAAATGTATCTTTGTTTTGGGGATTGACTTCTCACGTCTATGAATCATGTTATGGGAACTAAGAGTACTGTGTGGGCTGAAATTCTTACCATACTCCATGCATTTCTATGGCTTCTCCCCTGTGTGAATCCTTTTATGGGATCTAAGATCTTTATGTGCTCTGAAACCCTTTCCACACTCCATGCATTTATATGGCTTGTCTCCTGTGTGCATGCTTTGATGGGATGTACGATCACTGCTTGTCCTGAAGCCCTTTCCACACTCCATGCATTTATATGGGTTTTCCCCCGTGTGGAGTCTTTTATGGGAAATAAGGCCATTATGTCGGGTGAAGCCCTTTCCACACTCCATGCATTTATAGGGCTTCTCCCCTGTATGGATCCTTTGATGGGATGTAAGTTCACTGCCTGTCCTGAAGCACTTTCCACACTCCATGCATTTATATGGTTTCTCCCCTGTGTGGATCATTTTATGGGAAGTAAGATGACTGCTATAAATAAATGTCTTTCCACACTCCAAGCATTTGTATGGCTTCTCTCCTGTGTGGAGCCTTTTATGTGAAGTAAGATTACTGGGTTGGCTGAAGCCCTTTCCACACTCCATGCATTTATAGGGCTTCTCTCCTGTGTGGATCCTTTGATGGGATGTAAGATGACTCTGGGTGTTGAAGCCCTTTCCACACTTCATGCATTTATATGGCTTCTCCCCTGTGTGGATCCTTTTATGAACAGTAAGATACCAGTTTTCATAGAAGCCTTTTCCACACTCCATGCATTTATAGGGCTTCTTCCCTGTGTGGATCCTTTGATGGGATGTAAGATTACTCTGGTTGTTGAAGCCCTTTCCACACTCCATGCATTTATAGGGCTTCTCTCCTGTGTGGATCCTTTGATGGGATGTAAATTCCCAGCTTGTTCTGAAATCCTTTCCACACTCCATGCATTTATAGGGCTTCTCCCCTGTGTGGATCCTTTGATGGGATTTAAGATTACTCTGGTTGTTGAAGCCCTTTCCACACTTCATGCATTTATATGGCTTCTCCCCTGTGTGGATCCTTTGATGGGATGTAAGATGACTTGGTTTGCTGAAGCCCTTTCCACACTCCCTGCATTTATATAACTTCTCCCTTGTGCTTATCCTTTTATAAACAGTCTTATTTCCATCCTCAGTGCATTTATTTGGCTTCTCTCCCATGTGAAAACTTTTCTGTGACATAAGAGACCCATTTTCTTGAGAAAGTGTGAAAGTCCCATTGTAATTTTTTTCTTTGTCTTTGGATATATAATCTTTTCCTTTGACTTGGGATAGATGGTGCTCATTTATATCTATTGTGTCTTTGAATAGTCTTACACCTTTTCCAATGTGTTTTTTCTTTATTCTTCCTTGCTGATCAATAAAGTCCTGCATCTGAGCATCAATGGAAGATGAGCTTTCCTTATTCCAATTATTTGAAGTGTTTCTTTCCTGCCTTTGGAATCCCGTTTGAATTTCAGGCTCCTCCATTACGTCTCTTTGTTTGAACACTTTGATTAATTCTCCAGCAACTTTATTGTCATTTTCATTATCACCTTCAAAGGAAAAGAGAAATAAAAGTGATAGAAAGGTTAAGGGAAAAGATCACCCTGTCAGAAGTCATATTACAGATAATCCCTTAGTTACAAACCTTCCTTTAGCAAACGTTCGAATCTACACGATAATCACCCAGTAGTGTTTACAAAAAACTCCTGAAATTGCGAATGTTTCCACATTACGGCAGTCATTCACCCTTATGAAAGGCCACAGTAGCCCTGCAACATTCACCCTAGCTATTTCCTCCCTCTCCCCCACCCCAGTCTCCCTAGACATTAGGCCTGTGGGTACTCACCTTTGCTTTCTTGGCTGTTCTAGGCCTTTGGTGCATTCGCAGAGAATGGAAGCCTAAAGTAACGCAAGATCGCGTAAGATCAGTGATGCGAGATCTCACGCTACTGATTTCGAGTGATCTCACAGTAGTTTAGGCCTCTTTCTCTGCAACAGAGAATGGAACAGAAGCTGGGGGAGGTTTCCAATTGCCTCTGGAGGCCCAATCCGGGCATCGGAGGCCTTTTCCAGGCCGCTGCTGCCCAGAAAGGAGGCCAGGGGATGCTTCCGTGGGCCTTCAGAAGCCTGATCTACAGGCCTCCACCGGCAGAACAGAAGCCAGGGCCATGTGGCTCCAGAGTTGGGGGGGGGGAGAGCAGGAGATAGGCACTACAAGCACCATGAGAGTTCAGGCACCCATTCTCTGCAAAAGAGGATGGGTGCTAAACTCGGGCGATATTACAGCATGCAGGAACTTCCATTGACTCTCCTTTCCCTGAAAAGCAGGATCCCGGCAGAGAAGAGATGAATCTTTTCAAGGTAAGTCAATCTGGCGCAGCAGAAATGGAGGGGGACGTGCAAGGTATCTTTGTGAATTGTGGAGGCCTTGGGGGCCTGATCCATCACTAGGCCCTCTATGGCCTTCGCCACCCTGAGATACCTCATGCGCAAATAATGAACCGCCTATGTGTCCATGTATTCAATTAGTAAATATGTGGGTGAAAGCAGGGAGTGATCTTCTTTGAGGTACAAGATTTATTCCCATGAATTTTTGAGTTATGAATGAAATGGGCAGGCTCTATTATATTCGTAACTCGAGGACTACCTGTAATTGCCTCCAGGTATTTTGCCAGATTCCAATATATTGTATATTTGTATAATTATATGGTTTGGTATAGAAATGATAATATTACTATTCATGAGGCATAAAAACTTATAAAAGGCATTAAGTCAAAAAACTTGAAAGGCAATACATGATAGGACTAATACAGAAGCTTTTGGGCCAAAACGGTTGAAAACTGTTTGATAAAGTTTGGTATTACTGCAAACCAAGAAATTACTTAATCTCTAAAGTGTTTAAACAGAAATAGAAAAACAAATGGGATAGAATATATCTAAGCAGAATCCCATTGGCCTATTTCCTTCCTGGGAGCAGTAGAACAGCATGACTTTTCCTTCTCCCTCTGAGGAGAGGATATCTATTTGGAAAAGATTTCATAGGAAGTAATCCGTGGCATCTAACTACAAAGCGTCTTCCTGAACTGTCTGACTGCAGAATAGGAAACCCTTACCAAGAGAGGCCACGTTCCTATAATTGTCCAGCATGACTTCCCAATGCAGTGCTTTTTGGCAAGGATCCAGCAGAGACCACTCCTCCTCTGAGAAATACACAGCCACCTCCTCAAAGGGCAGAAGACCCTCCTGAAAGGCAAAAAAGTACAGAACAGACTGAGGAGGGACTATAGGATCTGTCCTATTGTTTAGAAATTCCCAAAGCAAAGGTACTAAGGTAAATGGATGTGTTTAGTAGGATTCCATAGTTTAGGTGAGAAAGTGGACAGAAGAAAAAGCTTTTGGTTGAAGAAATGTTTTAGACAGGTTTCATCAACTTGAATGATTTTCTAGGACTTCCAGTGCCATTCAGTTAAGTAACCCCAATTTCCTTCTGGATCAACGTCAGGATCCTTCTGGATCTTCCCAATATCCAGACAGCCAGCCCTGATCAATTCATCCATCCTCAATCAAAAGGCACTCAGTGTCAGGAGAGAATCAAAAATTTGGGTTTCAATTGTGGTCATAAATCAAGGATTACCTGTATTATGTACATCATCTGATTTCCCGAGAGAAAAAGAAAATACAAATCTAGTAAATGAATGTTCTTCTCTTACCTGAGTTGGAGGTTCAATCACGGTTTCAGTTCCCCCAAAAGAAAGAATCAACTTTCTTCTATTCTTCCCTGTGAGGAAGACAGAATTTCAGGAAGCATAATTAATGAAATGGGAGGAGGTATGCAATCGAAGAGAAAACACAAAAGATAAGAAAGTTAGGATTTATCAGAGGAGTGGAAGGACCTTATTATTATTACCTCTTGAGGTATCCTGATTTGGATCTTCCTGAGAGATCCTCCTGAAAAACAGTTCTTGAGGGAGATTTGGTGGATGCCTCATTCTCTCAGGATCTCTGACGTCCATTGTAAAGGACTTGAAATAGTATGAAGGAGAAAAGAATTAATGGTCATCACACATCATGAAGTGGTTTTTTACTGCAAAGCACTCAGTGTCGATCAATTAGGCTGGGAAGTAAGAAAGAAATGGCTCTGCAAAACCTTTCTTTTAGAAAGGATAAGCAACTATACAAAGATTAGTGAAGCATCTCCACATAGTATGAAAGCCAGAGAACTCTGGTAAAGAGCTATTAAGATTTTGAATATGTTTATCCAATGGCAAATAATTTTGTGTATAATATAATGCCTGAACAACAGGAAGATATTTGGATGAAAGTTTTAAAATTTCTATTAAATTAGAATTTAAAAGAATTTTTTTATAAAATGATATATCATTCTATTTAATGCGTGATAACCAGCCAAAGATGTATAAAGGAAATTCAAATACATGTTCAAAATGTAAATGTAAACAAGAATCTTTTTACCATCTTTCCTGGACGTGTGACAAAGCAAAGAAATACAAAGAAAGATTTATATTTTACTGCAGAAGATTCTCAAAAGTGAGTATAAAAATAAAACCAGAGACTTTAATAGACAAAGAGATTGAAAAACAATCTCAAACTTTGCTGTTATATATGTTGAGAGCAGCAAGAATGCTGGAAAATCGATACAACCCAGGTGGCCAGAAAGGCCCAACAGAGACTCCACTTCCTCAGGGTCTTGCGGAAGAACAGGGTAGAACAACTAATGACCCTCTTTTACTGGTCTACCATAGAAAGCGTCCTCTCACGCTGTATTGAGGTTTGGTATGCTGGCTTGACAGCCATGTATAGGAAGATATTACAGAGGGTATGAGCACAGCACAAAATATCGTGGGCTGTCCCCTGACACCACTGGATATTGCAAGGGCCCGCTGCCTTGGAAAAGTGAGGAAAATTCTCAGGGATGACTCATACCCTGGTCAGTACCTCTTTATTCTCCTACCATCGGGTAGAAGATATAGAAGCATAGCCAGCTGCACCAACAGGCTGAAGAATAGTTTCTATCCATGGGCTGTCAGGCTCCTGAATGGGAATAACCTTGTGCAGGATAGACTTGCAAAACTGGCGCGTTGTGCAATTAGCTCACACGATGTAATAGGATGGTGGGATTGTTATCACTGTGAATTGCGGGCGGGGGGGCACAAAGGGAGGCTCAGCCAATCTCATTGTATATATGTTGTACTTTGATAATAAAGGTTCATTCAAATTTTTGCACAAAAACGGAAGGATACTTTAATTGCCATAATGGAGAAGTCGCTGGAAAAACTGATGGAACTAGCAGAGATGGCAAAATTAACTGCTTTAATTAAAGAAAAGAACACATCCAACCTTGTTTCTACTTGGAAATTGCTCCTGGATTTTTTTCTTGGGATAAAACAAAAATGAAACTTTGATTTCGTTGTTATAGAACGGCTAGTACATATTAAGGATGTAAAAGTAGAAGGCCGAGGCTGTAATGTTACCATTTTATTCAACTGCACTAAAAAGAGTCAGAAGTCAATCATTTTCCTTTTTTGCCCTTTCCCCTATACTTCTTTCTCTTCCCTCCACCCTACTTCCTACTATTTTCAATTTTTTTGTATTTTATATCTTGATAAGCTTAATAATATTTTTAAAAGGAAACAAAAATTTGAACATATTATTATATTCAATTCCTTCTGGACTCCAAGAGGAAGTCCTCTCACCTGCAACTCAGCCTGCTCCTTCTGCTCCTCCTCCAGACTCAGGAGGAAGCCTTCCACCAGGGCCACCGCCTGGGAGCTGGTCTCTGCTCCACACTCCCGCACCCAGCTCTCCATCTGCAGGGGCAGAAGGGCCAGGAACTGCTCCAGAACAACCAGGTCCAGTATCTGCGCTTTTGTGTGCTTTTCTGGTCTCAACCATCGGCTACAAAAGTAGTGGAGTCGGTTGCAAAGTCCTCGGGGACCCTCATCCTCCTGATACTGGATGCTCCTAAAGTTCCAGGACTGAACTTGTGAAACGATGGTTCCATCGTCCAGGATCTTCTGCCCAGATCTTGCCCAGATCTCCTCACCGATTCCAGACTGAACACTGGAAGGGCCTTTTCCAGTTCCCCCACTT